GCGAGGGACATGCTACTGAATGAATGATCTATGGTTGCATTATACAACAAAGTGCAGCTGCCACTCAGTTCGTTGCTTCCCAGTGTTTCCTGCGTTTGATTTCTGGCTGCATCTGCCTCACCAGAAATAAGCTAGGAAACCAGTTTGTACCAAAGTGGGCGACGCTTACCTAATAATTTTTTGCCAGTTTTACCCCGGTCTGTCCCTGGCAGCAAATTTTTGCTCCGGAATTCTGTAAAGGTAGAAATTGTACCCTAGTTGGCAGAGCCAACGTCGCGTATAGCACTGAATCTCTTCATGCATACCCTGCTCCAATTTCCACTGTGGATAGTAGTTTTTTTCCCCATAGATTTCTTCTGTTAATTGTTTAACTTGTTTATTACTAGCTAGGGTTATTTTTAGCTCAGGGTATTCTCATTTCAATCGACACGAAGATGGGCACAGGATATAAGTGACTCCTTGAGTATGAAAGTGCATGAGGCGGGAAAACTGGCGAGAGACTGGGTTTCTTTCAGGCAGACTTAGATGAGAGCGACGTTCTGCAAAGGACCTGCTACATGATGGATGGATTCTCATTTCACTGGAAATTTTTCAGAATTGATAGGGAGGAAGTCAGAGGAGGTGGCGTGGCCATTCTCTTCAACAAACAAATCAGAGGAGTAGCTCAGAACAAGTTTAATCCCACTAACTTTGAAGGCAAATGTTTAGAAATAGCTTGCAAACCAGAAAATCTAAAGATTATTAACATCTACTGCCTGAAAGGGAAAGGCAAATCTAAAAGAAATAGAAAGCACGTTGATTTGATTCAAGAACCCACATCACAGCACTCGGGGCATCCCCATAAGTGCTCCGTCCCCATCTTCAGCAGCCAGCGAAGAGTTCCATACTAATGGTGCCAGTAGCATTCTGATTAAACGTCCGTCTTGCCTTTCCTCTGAGCCTCTAGCATCTGCCAGAACCTCTCGTCACCCCCCCCCCCCTGCATCAATCTCACCAGACTGTGGTGATCTATCTGCTCCTCTGAATTGTACAAGCTCTCCCACAGGACACTAACCACGTCTGCCTTATCATGCATCAGTATTTCACCAAGTTGTGCAGAGCCAGCCAGTCTTTCCTGTGAAAACATCCAGACAATATTTCTCACCCGTGTCCTCCGCAGCGAGGCATGCCACTCTGCACGAAGCATGCCTTCACGATCTTCCTCAGTATGCTTTCTGAGTCAGTTACAGTCACGATATGTGTGTGTGCAGGCTGACCAAATACTTAATAATTGTAGGCGACTTTAACTGTTCGCATCCTTTGTGGGGCGGTAATACTGAAAGTGTGGCTAGGTCTGAAAATCCATAAGGGAAAAAGAAAGCTTATGAGAATACATCAGGTAAATAATAATTTGGCTTTTATCAAAGGCACCCCACTCCAAGACGTGGAATCGTACACATATTTGGACAGTAACGTTGACAAAGATGAGGGGGGGGGGGGGGGGGGGGGGGGGGCTGATAAGAGATATTAAAATGCGAAACTAAAAAGCAGAAGAGCTTTCATGGCACTATGGTTTGGGGGGGGGGGGGGGTCAAAAAAATTTAAAGGCAATACTAAACTTGACATATATAATTCTGATGTCGGAAAGGTACTGCTGTTTGGAGCGGAAACCGGGAGTACAACTAAGGCAATTACTAATAAATTAAAAAACATGGTGCCTGTGCAGAATAGAGGGAATTACATGATACGATAAAATCACCAATATAAAGCTTGGGGAGAGAAGTAAACAAGTTTCATCGGACTATGAAGTAAAGAAAAGACGCCGGCGTTGGATAAGATACACGCTGAGAAAACTGGAGAATAATATAACTAGAATGTCTTTGCACAGGAACCCACAAGGACATACGAATGAAGGAAGCGCCCCCCCCACCCCCCCCCCAAAAAAAAAAAAACATGGAGAGGGGAGCTAGAAAGTGAAGTTAGGAAGATCTGCATAAGGTTAAAAAAAGAAAGGTTACAACGACTTATCTTCACTTGGCTAAGGGCCTAAGCTCCATTAGGGGATATAAAGGCAGAAGAAGAAGTGGGTCACCACGTATGGTGTTTTGACTTTATATAGAGTAAATATTAACAAGTTACAACTAAGGGATTAGTATCGCATTGCAGCAGTATGTGCGGCTTATCAGTGAGCGGACATATTATGTGGTGGCTAGTTAGATGTGGGCTGTTAGGGAACCCGTATGGCACACGATGCTATGCCTTTTTGCATTGAAAAAAAAAATATAAATTGGGTGGGCCTCATGTCGCAATGTTAGATGCCGATGTTCACTGAGAACTGAACGGTCCAGGAATATTTAAAAGCCAGCAACAGAATAAAGGCGGTCATGTAAGTTAGGACTATGATTTCACAGAATGTGACAACAACGCTGGCATTCTTGATGCTGTAGATCCACCACTGATCTGGAATTATTTACAGAAGATACAAAAAAACGGTGACCAGGACAAGATGAAGTCTCCGTAGCTCGAGCCACATGCAACGATGACCCAGGTTCCACAGGCCGACCTGGCAACAGCGTTGTGACCTGTAGCTGTCCCAACCACGCTGACTAGTTAGAGAACTAGTTTATGGGTCAAGAGACACCCTCAATCGACAATATACCTAGGTTTGTTGAAGTTTCTTAGTAAGTCAGCTACTATCCTCGGGACACCTTAAAGCTGACTATGTCTTTCGTAAGACGTTCACTGTCTTGGTCCATTAAATCACTCTACGTCTTTCTCGTTTAGGACACCATCACTTACTCAAGACACATCTCAAGTTCCTTAAAGTCGGCCACTATCTCTTGAACACCTTAGGTCGTTCGACGTTTTTCTCCTGTAGGCATCTTCAGACGCTCAATGTACGTAGCAAAACCACACTTGCTTTCCTGATAGGGGTCGCTCTTACTGCAGCTCTTTGGTAAGAGCGACCCCTATTCCTCCGACACATTTTGTCGTTCGACATCCTTCTTTGGGAAATCTTAAGTTGCTCAATGTACATAGCAAAACTTTCACTTCTTTTCCTTTGCAAGTCTTACAGATGTTCCTTGGCAAGACGTTTGGAACACCTTAAGTCACCCGATATCTATCTCCATTGGGAGACAATTTGGTGCCTTTCTCCTTTGCGAAATATTGCAAAATACGCCAAGCAATAAATTGTGCAGTCTAATGTTTGTGTCTTCTTTGTTCCCATATTAAGTCGTTTACTGACGTGTCTTGGTAAGTCAGCATTTGTACTATCCCAGAGTAGTATGTCAGCGAGAAAACAGACCACATGTGTCAACTCTAGCTATGCCGCGCTTGCAGCCCTGGCACCGATCGATCCTGCTAGTGGGTTGTTTGGGCTCAGACCCAAAATAGAGAATGCTAGGTGAAGTGTACTCTAGTAGGTATACTGCAATTTGTCTATATAGATCCGTCCTCAATAAAGAGCATTTTTTGTTTCTCCTCATGCTCGTCGGATTGTGCCAGTTTAGACCATTCTCTGACAAGTGACTACGATCAACAAATCATTTTTACTGAGCTAGCCTGTCTCAAACCTTTCTGACTGGCTGGCTGACATCGGCCTTGTTATCAAGTGTTTGGCAGTATGTTGTTGATTACATGTCTAAGATCTTTCTTCTCAATACATAAATCTGTTGGTTTAGGCGATAACTTTCATGGCACAGTGTATTATACCATAAGGCTCATCTCGCCTTGAATAACAGTTGTTGGCCTCCAGACTTGTAACTCGCTCAGGTGACCCCACCAAAAAACCGTGACCTTCCCTCGTGGATCACACAACCCTAGTTCCTAGTCTCGAACCTTCATTTGTCAGTGAAGAATGTTTGATTTGAACTTGCAGACTTTATCGAAAGGATGACTACACTAGAGTCCTTCTGATACTCTTGTACCTCTATTGGTACTTCTCGGCATGTCCGAGTACTTGTATCGGAACTTCTCTACCTGAATGGGTAATTGTTCTGTGTTGAAGTCTAGTAACAGTGCCATGGTGGAATGCCCATGTTCGTTGCAGCAGTCAGCTGAAGTGATAATAAATCTATTGCTGGCTTCCTATGCCTCTCACAACTTCACCAGAGCGTTCCGTGGTGATCCAGGATGACCTCATTTTGTTTAAGAACATAAACTCAACTTTAACCGTGGACAGATGCATTTTATATCATCTCATTATAGTTGCCATAATAATAAGAATGCTGAGACTTTTCTTCATGGTAGTGCGCCTGCTGTCCGTGGACATATCCGCTCATATACAGACTCTACCCCCCCCCCCCCAATGTGTATAGTACCTCTACTCTACAATTGGACCAGGTGAGTTTTACAGCTTCAGACATCACCCCTGCTGGATGAGTAGATGACATGGGCACTCACAGCCATATGCCAAAAATGGTCCTTAATAGCATGCAAGAATTCTCCATGTCCCCCCCCCCCCCTTTTAAACGCCGTGAAATGATTCTCAATTCTTGTAGCCCTGTCTATGCATGCCTTTTATTATTCAAGTTATGTCCCATGGATGTTTAAATGTGTTCAACAGACTCAGGATTTCCTCTCGTTTCACAGTCAAATGCTTTTGTGTACTCATGCATCAGTAGAGATCAGGTTTTACTTCTACAGCCTTTTCCGACAGTGTCTTGAAGATGTAAGGCCTCACCATAAGGAAGATTTGATCCCTTTAGAACTCCACAACTGACATGCACACTAAAGCAATGAACTAAGAGATAGAATCAATCAGTTTAATGCAGACTTGCACACACACAATATCACCGACACAGACAAGGTGTGCACGCAGATCAAATGTTTACACGCTAGAACACAGAAATATCGCCAATCTGACTACATATATTCACACACATTCACATCCAGTAGGATCTGGCAGCCACAAACACAAGATGCAGGAAGGACCATGCCATGTCTGCAGTGAGATTTATCTGTACACAGGTGGATGACAGGCACGAACAACGCTAGAACTGTCCTGCTCGTCATCACACTCACACGTCTTCATTCTTGGACGCCTCATCAAAGTTTTCCACCAGTTCTGTGAAAAAACAGAAAAGGTACTTAAGGACAATCAATGCAACACCCCACACTAGCCTGCCAAAGCTCAATACAACACACCCCACAGAGCCTGTTGCAATGACCAGCGTCCAGGTTGACTAAATGCGAGAGAGCAAGCAGAAGTCCCTCTAGAGTGTCAGGCAACCGATTCCCTCAGGTGTCCGCCCTGATACAAGACAGCTGGACATTTCTAATATTAGTGTCAGAAAGCTTCTCTTAGATTTATGAGTTCTCTTGCTGTAAAATTTCTGGACTCATATATGACTAACCTGAGCCAGTGACCAAGGGCATACCTGTCTCCCATTACCAAGGAGGTTAGGATATTTTTTCCAAAATGACTGGTTTTCTAATAACATTCATAAAATGAGCGTAGGGTTATGAAACCTTCACAGCATCATTGCGGATGGTTGCTACACAAGAAAAAAGATATATTATGCAACTGTGTCACACAATCATGCCAGCATTTTTAGATTTGTTTGCTTTTTATAAACATTTCAGATGTTCTAAAACCATCACCTTTTTATAGTTTTTAAGTGAATTTTTCAATATCAGTGCAATAAATTGTTGAGGATATGGTTGATGATGAATAAAATTAGTTCATTGACTAGAGCAATGGCAACTAAAATAAATAAGTAATTCAATGGCAGGTACCCATTATAAGATCTAGGTGGGTAGGGGTAGTTTGCACCAAGCTGGCCCAAGTGATCGACACCCCCCCCCCCCCCAACACTGTTGTAATTTTCTGCAAGAACTGGCTTATTCATTATTCTGCCCTCAAGAATTCCACTTTTCCCAACTGTCGTGTCTATAACAGCACTGAAGTAAACATTAGATATCAGGTAAACTCTATTTGTGTCCGACAGATAACGGGCCAACATGCCTTTATATTTGGTCACACACAACAGGACAATCTGCCTTTTTCAGTTTCAAATTTTTTTTTTTAAATAAAAAAAAATTAATCGGCTCACATACAACTGTGTCTGACATGGCACCTTGCTGTTCTTTGTGTGGATGAAGACTGTCAAGCTAAAGTTCATTTTGAGCAGCCTTTCTGAACAGCATTTTCAGCTGTAGAAATGTTCTGGTCTCTTGTGTCACGGCCACTTCTGTCTTCAGATGTACCTACATCAACTCCATCGTCAAGTTTATCATCGTTGTGGCTACTTTCAGCTGGGATATGGTGTTTAAATTCACAGGTGAATCTCTACTTATCCAGAAATTATTATTTTCAGCGCTAAATTCGCTGGCAGATTAAAAAAAATTCATACAACTGGTCTGGTTTTCATCATCAGACATGATTAAAAATTCGGAATATGCGACGACAGCGAAAATAATCAAAATGTCACTTAAAACAACGCTTGTATCAGCTCTATTCGGTATTGACCGTGGGCATAGCCATTTTGGAATAATAAAAATATCCTGATGCAGTTCAATCCAAAAACTACCGGGAGAGACGTCGGTCGGCAGACTACATGTCACGAATTAGAGAATCGTCAAAATTGGTTAGCAAAGTGTTAAAGTTCTTAAATCGACATTTGGCTGGCTTTCATCTATCGTCATCCACTGATAGCCTGGTGCTCTCACTCCATGTATGACACTTATCAATAAAAATGTTTCAACTACTACTTGTATACTCAAGCACTCCAATAACCAGATGTCTTCCACAAAATGACCTCGTCTGAGCTCTCTTTTCTCGGACACATAATTCCGTTTTACAATCCACTCTGGCAAGTGAGCTTTCCTTTATTCGCAATTTCCCACCTGACCTTTCACCTATGCTAACTGGGGATTCCCTATAATGTGCGATGACGTCACTTCTCTGATGTATGCCATCTACAGTGGGGTACAACAAAAACAGAACCCACCTGGGACATCGTCGTCGTCATCAACATCCGCTGTAGTCTGTTTACTGCTGTCAACAACTGAGGAAGACATAAATATCACAGCAAACAATCACTAACATATTCAGTGCAAACATCAACTGCTAACACAAATATATTCAGCGCAAACATCAACTGCTAACACAAATATATCGAGTGCAAACATCAACTGCTAACACAAATATATCGAGTGCAAACATCAACTGCTAACACAAATATATTCAACATGAACATCCTCTGTCGACAATACCATAGGGTAAGATCAACTGTCAATCAGAAACAGTGTTAACACTTTCATTAAGAGGAAGCCACCGTGGTGTAGCAGCTAACCGCTCAATTCTACATGAAGTCCAACACCCCCCCCCAGGTAAAGTGCTGGTACTGAGTGTCGACTGTGCTCTACTCTACACACATACAGTCATGGAGACAGAGGTCATTGACTTTCGCTGTCATAAGGTGACTGCAGAAAGCTCACACAGCTGAGACAGACAGAGACAACAATGATAACTGCCACCACTAGACTGGACTACAAGAAAGCTCACACAGCTGAGACCGACAGATACAACAATGACAACTGCCACCACTAGACTGGACTACAAGAAAGCTCACACAGCTGAGACCGACAGAGACAACAATGATAACTGCCACCACTAGACTGGACTACAAGAAGCAGCCACAGCCAGTCTTATGTCTCTGAGGACAGGAACACAGCATCCCCATCATCAAGTGTTCTGTCAAATGGTAAAGACTAGCCTGCCTCCTCAATGCACCCCCTCTCTTGCACATGTTACCCATTCACATCCGTGTGGACCATGCTGCCATTCACATCTGTGTGGACCATGCTACCATTCACATCTGTGTGGACCATGCTACCTTTTAAACCTGTGTGGACCATGCTGCCATTCACATCTGTGTGGACCATGCTACCTTTTAAACCTGTGTGGACCATGCTGCCTTTTAAACCTGTGTGGACCATGCTGCCATTCACATCTGTGTGGACCATGATGCCATTCAAACCTGTGTGGACCATGCTACCATTCACATCTGTGTGGACCATGCTGCCATTTAAACCTGTGTGGACCATGATGCCATTCACATCTGTGTGGACCATGATGCCATTCACATCTGTGTGGACCATGATGCCATTCACATCTGTGTGGACCATGCTGCCATTCACATCTGTGTGGACCATGCTGCCATTCACATCTGTGTGGACCATGCTGCCATTCACATCTGTGTGGGCCATGGTAACAATTTGCTGACCTAATTAGGGCCATATGTTAAAATGCTCACGGGAGAAAAGGATAAAACCCATTAATAGACAGATAAGTACCAGTGTAAACATGAACAGACACAATTGCATACCTCCAGCGACTGTAGAGGCCAGCTTCTTCAAACTGCTTAAGCTTTCAGTCCCCAGCTGGTTGAGAATTCCTGGCAACATTTCAGCGATCTCTGCAAGAAACAGGAGAAAATGTGTCAGACCACAGACTGTGTGACAGCACTAGATGTGTGTCATGTGGGAGCACGTCTGATGTTGCTGTGTGGAAGTATAGGTGCAAGCCTGATGTTGCTGTGTGGAAGTATGGGTGCAAGCCTGATGTTGCTGTGTGGAAGTATGTCTGATTTTGCTGTGTGGAAGTGTAAGAGCTTATTCAATACGTGTTATCCTCATTAACATCTTAGCACATCTGTACAACCCATTTATACTCCGTCCTCGAGTGCAGCAGCCATCCCAGTGACTTCATGCTTGTCCTTGTTTAATACCCATATCCAACACAACAATCGGTTCACTGTCTCTGACTCCATCAACTCAACACCACTAGAAGCCAGCACACCCAGTATGTTTTACATAGAAACTTACGTTTATTCTCAGCGTGACCAGTGATGGCAAATGTGTTGGCTGCCAAAGAGGCCTGAACCTTGGGGTTGTTGAAATGGATCACCTGCCCATCTTCTTTGATCATGTTTACCTGTGACAGACAACAAATCCATTATACACAAACAGTGATGACATCACACACTTCCCACCAGCAATCCAGTCCATTACTGTCTCTCATTACCAGGGCTGTTTGGAGCTCCCACCCCCCCTTTTAAAATGACTAAGGTTGTGAAACCATTGCACCACTATGAATGTTGCTACAACACGAAAAAGTGAAATTATGCAAATATGTCACATGATACACGGTAGCCATCTTGAATTTGTGTGACTATTCACAGAAATATCAAAAGATATTTTAAAATGTTGGCATTCCTGTGTGGGTTCAGGACCCCCATTCTGGGGAAAACAAGAATACATCCACTGCCTTTCCAGCAAGCATGTCGTAGGAGTCGACTAACTGGGGACCTCCTTCAAAGTCGGAGTGCACCTGTCCGAGTGGCAAAGGAACAATCAACTGCACACAAATAAGTCAGTAAAATGGATGTACATGCAAAACTCAGGCACTGGCACAAAGCGACGAACAACCAGGACTTTCAGCTGGAGCTTACAGTCAGTGAACTTTCAAAAGACAACAAAATGAACAGCCCACTTAAGAAAGAATATCTTACAGCGCCACACCATACAAGGCATGCAACAAACGAGGAGACACCCCTGCCCACTACAAAAACAGCAAAGGGTAGACAAAAAAAAAAAAAAAGATTAAAGACATAGAAACTCTACAGGCACGATGCTTTTGTGGTCAAGGCTGCATGGAGAGCAAAAACTGTAAAGCGTGTGTCTCCCTCGACACAGCACTCAAGTAAGTGAAGAAGATAAATGACCCAGCTGATAAACTTAGACAGAGGCAGCCAAGCGATGAAACAAAAGAGTACCTCTTCAATTCCTGGGATATTGTTGACAGACAATTTCTTCAGAGAGAACTGGATCTTCTTGTCATCTGTGGTGGCAGTTCGGTGGATGACCTTCTTCTTTCTTCTGGCAGAACCCTGGACAACAACACATACAAGTGATAGCACCAATAAAGAAATACGACAATCACTCTAGCTGTAAATGCCAACATACAAGTGATAGCATCAACAAAGCAACACAACAATCATTCTGGCTGTAAATGCCAACATACAAGTGATAGCATCAACAAAGCAACACAATCATTCTGGCTGTAAATGCCAACATACAAGTGATAGCATCAACAAAACAACACGACAATCATTCTGGCTGTAAATGTGAGCATGTGACAGCACCAATAAAACAACAAGGCAATCACTCTGGCTGTAAATGTGAACATGCAAGTTACAGCCCCAACAAAACAATCATTCTCTCTGCAAACGTGGCGGTTCTTTTTAAGTTTTTTTGCCCTACAAAGAAAGTGTCTTCCCTTCCCACATCGCAGGGCCAGTTCTATGTTGTGGGGTGCTTTTAATAGCCCCAAAACAGGTATAACTGGCCATAACCTTCGTATGCAGCGTATATTATAGGGTATATGCAGTTGTGGGACAAAGGCTGCACTCTCTCGTGGGACACAGGCTGAAGGGTAACGGTAGAGGTTAGAACCAGCTCTACATATTTTGGGGCTATCAAAAGCGCTTACATCCGGAAATAGAGAACACGCACTATCACCGGCAGCTAAAAACGAGAAAATACTGGATGGTTACTAAGACACTACAAGGCATAAATGGGAAGATAAGTCACTCTCTTGCGGGGCCTGTAAAAAGAACTCAAGTGACAGCACGAACATGCAAGTGACAGCATCAACAAAACAGTCATAGACTCATACACACATAGATGACAGTAAATGTAGTCATACTCATACACACAGAGATGATAGTAAATTTGCAGTCAAACATTTGTAGATGATAGTAAATCTTAAATCTAGTCATACACAAACAGATGACAGTAAATGTAGACACAAACACATAGAAGACAGCAGATGTGCAGTCATACACACATCGATGACAGCAGATGTGAAGTCATACACACATTGATGACAGCAGATGTGAAGTCATACACACATAGATGAAAGCAAATGTGAAGTCATACACACATCGATGACAGCAAATGTGCAGTCACACTTTGTATTGCTGATGTTAACTCAATCAGGCCAGTCCATAAACACGGCATTGAAAAAATGACCTTCTATCGAAGTATTTGCACACCTTTTCTCCAACAAACATTTAGTCTCACCTTTCCTCCAATGCGTACAACGTCCGCTTTTGCCTGCAGCTGTTTTAACTTCTCTGGATTCATTTTTAAAACTGTAAATGTTGAAAAATAAAAAAATATCAGAAACTGTCAGGACATTATTAAAAACTAAACGTGTGTGGTTCTGCTTCCTCCATATGATGTCAATGTGACTGGGCTCCATGTGATAGTTTTGCCACGTCTTAACAACTTCATCAGTTACTTTAATGTCAACAAAATGTCACAGTGTGTAGATCACATATGCACCCAGCAGAGTGCCACTAGTGTGTGCATTGCATGTATCATTAATACTACAGTATATGTAGCGACTACGGTGTCCGGGAACTGCAATCTTTTGGCAATTTCCGTTACCACGGAAATGAAACCGTTCATCACTTGCTTCGGAAATGTCGGCTGGGGTTTCGGGATGGGTCCTAATCTCTCATGAAATTTTGCGATTGGTGTGATTTTCACCCACTCTAAATAGCTGAAAACAGCGGGAAGGAACCCGATTAACAGCGCATGTCTACGACAGCCGGACGTCCTCTGTTTTTCTGTTACATCAGTTTGATTGAAAATAGCGCTAAGTATTCAAGGTTGGCTTTAGGCTTTAACTGTTACTGGCAATGCTAGTTATAATTGAATTCTCTGTCCATTTTTACATTTGTGTATAAAACTTCTTTCTGAACCATGGCTAGGTAGATGTACAGTGACATTTTTCAGGCAATCGCTGGCTCAGCCAGTGGCTGTGTCTCATTGGCTGCCATCTTGTCCAATGTAAACAAAGCCAAAACAAAAGTTGCGCAGTTTGGTTGCGCAGAGAAAACCTCTGGTTTCTGGGAGGCAAGTTTTAGCAGCTGCTTTCTACATCTCATCTCCACAAAAACCTACATATCTCAGCTCAGAAATGACATACAAGCCTAAATGAGGTACCGTTGGAAAGAGATTGTTTACAGCCATCTAACCAAACTGTGCTGGTTTTATTGGTATTGAGGGTATTTTGAAAATTTGACTAAAGAACCTAGACTATATGTGTATGTATGCATATGGTATACTTATACTAAGGCATACAGCAACAGTTCGAGACAAGAGCAAAGAGCTAACATAACGATCTACTCGTAATAAAGCTAAAGCAATATGTTATCAATTTCACTGGTAGAGGAACCAGCTAGGGAGAATTCTGGTGCATCTATAATATCAATCTACCACCAGCTGCACATAAAACAAAAAGGAGAGATAAAGTGATGAAGAGAAGGAAGACAAAAAGAGACAGAAAAAAGACGTTTAGTAGTTACCTGTAACGTGCACGGGATAACCACGAGAGAGAGAAGGGAGATGGCGGCCGCCGCAGGAACTGATGACGTCGTCGATCTCTGTGTACTTCTATCTTTAGCACTGGCTACACTCTCCATGAATAGGTACCGCCGGCCAGTCCACAAATGTTTTTCTTTTTTTGACCTTATCACCTATTTATTTACAATGATGGCTAAGAAACAAACTTATTTAAATGATATAGAAAGCAGCTTTCTGCAACTATGTAAGAGATGTGTAAGAAAATAGCAAGTTTCTGCAAGTAAAGTGTGTAAGCGCTAGTGTTGGAGAGTATGGGCCGGCAGCAGACGAAGACAGAAAGTGGACGGCGCCAAACCCGCGGCCACAGAAACATCTCCAGTATCGGCTTCTTGTGGACGTTGTCAGTTCTTCTCTCTTGTCGACTTCTGGTCTCCAACAGCATTTAGCAGCAACTACATCACCCAGTCAGTCATGACCACAGAACATTCCATAGATTTGCCCTGTGTGCTGGACAAGTCAGCAGACAAGTAAGGTTTTCGTGTGTCTGTGACTGACCGGCTCGACGTCACGGCGGTCAGTCCACGAACTTTCTTTGTTCGCTCACCAAAAATACCCGAGTCATCACATTTTGTTCTCTGTCCATATTGTCATCCCACCAGCTCCACGCGGGCACTAGCCGTTTAAAACATCGATATCGTTACCAAGTACGTTTCTGGGAATTCAACGTACGTTTGTTTTAAATAGCCAAAAGACTGTCCACATAAAATTAGTGTTGTGGGATTTTCTCAAAAAAATAATTTAACGATTCCGTTACCAGCGTTCTGCTGGTCACCGAACCAGTGCCTTTGTTGGTCGTTGTTCTTGTCTTACATCTAGAATATGTCAATTAGGGTTAACTGTGGCTTAGACTGTCCCCAGCAGCGACGTTGCTGCCTGTAACTACTGTTTGACACACTCAGTAGGAACTTTAGTCAAATTTTTAAAATGCCCTCAACACCAATAAAACCAGCACAGTTAAGATAGCTGTAAACAATCTCTTTCTAATGGTACCTCATTTAGGCTTGTATGTCGTTTCTGAGCTGAGATATGTAGGTTTTTGTGGAGATGAGATGTAAAAAACAGCCACTAAAACTTACGTCTGTGAAACAAGAAGTTTTCTCTGCGCATGAACTGCGCAACTTTCGTTTTTGCTTTGTTTTCATTGTTCATTGTACAAGATGGCAGACAATTTTTCTCAGACATAGCCACATATTAGCGATTGCCTGAAAAATGTCACTGTACATCTAAACAGCCACAGACAAGAAAGAAATTGTATACACAAATGTAAAATTGGACGGAGAATTCAATTATAACTAGCATTACCATGTCTGGTAATGTTTAAGGCCTAAATCCAACTTTGAAAACTTACTGCTATTTTCAATCAAACTGATGTAACAGAAAAACAGAGGACGTCCGGCTGTCGTAGATATGCGCTGTTAATCGGATCCGTTTCCGCCGTTTTCAGCTATTTATAGTGGGTGAAAATCACACCAATTGCAAAATTTCATGAGAGATTAGGACCCATCCCGAAACCCCAGCCGACATTTGCGAAGCAAGTTTCGAACGTTTTCCAGGGTAACGGAAATTGCCAAAAGACCGTGAATTGCAGAACACCGTAGTCGCTACACACTGCTGCTATGGTGACATTGTCCACAGTTGCTGAGGACACCAGCTGTCACACAGCTGGCTGGTAGATGAGTGTGTTGCTGTGTCATCTACAACTATCAGTAGTCTCCTTAAATTACATCAGTAAGACAACAAATATATAACCAAGATATAAACATATCTGAAAGGGCTGTACCGAATATTCGCTTCGGGCCGAATAGTGGACCTAATAACTATTCGGTATTCGGCTGAATAGTTGCGGTCGGGCCGAATAGGAATAGTGGTTCCCTGAATCCCGTTTCTGCATACACTGTGATGGACTGAAATAATTCTCATTAACACAATAGTTGCTGTTGCCTTAGCCTCTCATAGCGGGGGAAACTGCGACCCGGTTGCGTTGTACAAACTGCATAAAATGCCAACCGCAGTGTGTGTCTGTGTGTGTGAGAGATAAAGAGGGAGAAAGAGAGATCATACATTTTTTTTGGTTTTTCAGGGTGTCTTTGCCAAAATCAAATCTTAAGATATTGCTAGTGAGAATATGAAGGTGCGTTTAAATTACATCGAACAAACGGCAGAGCGAACGATGGTTTTGAAAGCGGCGGGAGCCCGTAGAAAACTAATCACAGACATCGGAAGGAGACAGTCGTCATTTTTCAGCCATGTTATGAGAAGAGGGAAAATGGAACATTTGGTGACCACTGGAAAGATCTGTGGAAGGAGGGATAGAGAAAGACAACGATAGAAGATTCTTGACAGTCTTGTTGCAAGGCATGGGGGTGTGTCAGCACTCGAACTGATACATGCTGCAAGAGATAGCAGATTGTGGAGAGGCATGATCACACACGCCAGTCGGCAAGTCACCTGATGATGATGATACACTATTCGTATTCGGCCAAATAGTTGGTCTCACTATTCGTATTCGGCCGAATAGTGAAAATCACTATTCGGTACAGCCCTAATATCCGACTAAAATATGTTTTCTGACCATCATATAACATGATATTTGTTTAGTAGAAAAAACGCTATCATGAAATTCTAGACACAGTCGGACCTGCCAACAAACTGCTAAATCCACACAGCTGGAGAAATGACTGGGGAGAGTGTGTCTAGACATTACACCCTGGTACATTCTAGTCTCTATAAGTTAAGACATCAAGTCACAGCTCATAGAGATTATTCGTGTTCATGCCAAGTAAGCAGGTGTAAGAAATAAGCAAGCTGTTAGGCTTGCAGATGATCTGAGATAAGGCTACTGTGGAGAGGACGTGGGTGGACATGTTTGTCCATGGTTAGGGCACCATATGTTAGTAGACATTTTGTGCAGTTTTGGACCTGCCTTAGTCTTGTTTAATCTTTCCCCAGACCTGAAGTCATGAAGTCAGCATCGGACTTGCTGTCTCAGGGCAAGAGGAGCATGGTATGTGGCGAGATCCCGCAGGCTGTCGACTTGTACCAGGAGGCTGTCCAGCTGCTGTAAGCTTTGTTTGTTAAAGTGTCTCATGACATGGAGAACAACTTGAGATATTTTTGTTTGTTTGTTTGGTGAAGTGTCTTTACATGGAGAGTAATGGAGTGTAACTTGAGATATTTTTGTTTGTCAGTGTCTCATGACATAAAGAATAACCTCATATATTTATGTTGTTTGTTGGACAGTTTCATGACAGCTATCTGGGGCTGACAGTTAATGCTGTAGGGTAAAAACATCAGTAACTAAGACAGTGGATACAAGTAGTAATGTGACATGTAGGACAGTAGATACAAGTGGTAAGACTAAAATTTATTAATGTGACATGTTTTGTAGAAACATTGATAGTCACTAGGACAGTAGATACAAGTGGTGATGTGACTAGAATTTATTAATGCGACATGTTGGGAAGAAACATTGATAGTCACTAGGACGGGGTGGGGGTCTCCATGCTGCAGTGGTCAAGCCACTTGCCTCTCGCTCTAAAGGTCCATGGGGGTCATTGCAGGAGCTACAGAGCAGAGTTTGTGCTCTGTATGATGCTTGTAGCAGGGGGCTAGCTATTCTGTTTGAGACTGAGCCATGTGTGAACACTTGTGATGGCGTTATGTGACATGTAGGGTAGACCTATTGGTTGTAACAACTGATAGCTTTGTCGGCAGTAATCTGTCCTGTGGGAGCCATTACTAGAGTGGGAGTTAACCCATATACAGTCAGTGTGCGTGTTAACCCACATACAGTCAGTGTGAGTTAACCCACATACAGTCAGTGTGAGAGTTAACCCATATACAGTCAGTGAGAGTTAACCCATATAGTCAGTGTGAGTTAACCCATATAGTCAGCGTGAAAGTTAACCAGTATACAGTCAGCGTGAAAGTTAACCAATATACAGTCAGTGTGAGAGTTAACCCATATACAGTCAGTGTGAGTTAACCAATATACAGTTAGTGTGAGAGTTAACCAATATACAGTCAGTGTGAGTTAACCCAAATACAGTCAGTGTGTTAACCCAAATACAGTCAGTGTGTTAACCCAAATACAGTCAGTGTGAGTTAATCCATATACAGTCAGTGTGAGAGTTAACCAATATACAGTCAGTTTGATGCAGCAAGTCAGCCCACAGCATTGCTGCCACATTACGGTAGTTTTTGTGGCTGGAGATGTTGGCTGTACTCTTGACTAAGATTTGATTTTTGTGGCTGGAGATGTTGGCTGTACTCTTGACTGAGACTTGGTTTTTGTGGCTGGAGATGTTGGCTGTACTCTAGACTGAGACTTGGTTTTTGTGGCTGGAGATGTTGGCTGTACTCTAGGCTGAGACTTGGTTTTTGTGGCTGGAGATATTGGCTGTACTCTAGACTGAGACCTGGTGGCTGACTTGCAGATGTTTGAATGTGCCTGTTGTATGGTGATCATGTGTAATTATTGTCCATGCCTTTGACCTCCACTAGGGTCAAGTCTTGTGGGGAACTGTCCAGGGATTGTGCAGATGCTTACTTCAGCTGTGGTTCTGCCCTCCTGGAGCTGGGCCGCATGGAGACTCAAGTGTTGGGTGTAGCTCTAGAAGGTGGTGAGTATCTCCACACTTGGTGTGGCATATTATGGAAAGACACATTATGATATCATTGTACAGGGGTATTTGCACCTAGCTGTTTATGTCTGTTGTTGCCAGCTTAAGGCATTCCTAACCTTTTAAACCTAAATTGTATACTATTTGTATACAGTCTTTGCTCCAGTACTCATTTATTTTGAGTTTTTTTTTGTTCTTGGCATTAGCAGACTACCAAAAAAAAAATAGTTCGTCCATGTATATATATCTCCATTGGGAAAGACACAAACTTGTAGTGGCAGGTGCCTTCTCAATTACTTCCTTGCAGAACCTGTTAGTTTCCTCTGCAATGAAAGTCATCAGTGATTCTGTGAAAAAAAAAAAAAAAGTAGAAGAAAATAAAGCACTGAACTGTTTTAATCTACAGTAGCAGAAATACAGCCAGAGCTGGAGTCATCAAAATTATGCACTACTGGTATCAACTCATCATGCCGTTTTTATGGCACTTCATTGTCACTTTCCTCTGATTCCGATGATGAGGACGTTGGACAGGCAAACAGCTTTTACTTGGACACGCCGGTTTGTGCTGTAGTCACTAATGCCTAGTCGAATCTTATTGTTCACTGTTAGTACACATTTCAAAGTCATCTTCGCTATCACTCCTTGACAAGAAACTCCATTAGTTCTTCATCAACTTTAACAAGTTTTTCTTGCCATTTTGTACTAATGTGTAGAATAATCCAAAACCACGAATATATATCAGGGCATAAAATACACAGATCACCGACCACGCTGTCATTGTAAACAAAACTACGGGTTACTGCGGAATGCAGTAAACACACCTAAATGTATGTGCCAGTGCTTTTAATCATATGTAAATGGGTCAGTTAAATCTAAATATAGCTAATGTATATTGCCCTTTGGCCCCTGAGACAAGAGATCACAGAAATCTGTAAAGTCCAAAAAAACAGGTTTTTATGTCCATAGCCTGGGGGTCAAGAAAATATGCGGGGAAAATGGGAAAAGATGTCCATACAAGCGAAAGGGTTAATACTGCATTAAAATAACATATTTTAGATAAAAACAAATAGTGAGTCACATAGAAGTCATACTAAGGCTTGTAAAAACGAACTTTTGCAAAAATGGTCAGACTGACCCAAATTCAGTTTGAACACACGTACAGTTTGTCTTTTCCCAATTGTTTTTGTGAGGGCAGTCTCTGTATCTGTGTTTGTTTCTTCTGTATGCTTCTATATATTTGTTATATTTGTGTCACTCTGGCGTAATGCTGATCACATCACCCACCCGCCCAGTGCCTGACTGCTCTCTAAAACTATAGGTCTAGCTATCCCTAATAGGCCTGAAGGTGTAGAAAAGGACTTTGACTGATTTTGTGTCAGTTCTGGTCTCAGCATGACATCTTCCATCATATATCATCATGTCACCTACATTTTACAATGGTTGACCTGTCTGATTGCTGTGCCTTCACCTTATCTGAAGCCAATTGGAACTTTAATGCAGCTCTTCTGTGTGAAGCCTGCTGATGTAATGGTTGAGCAGGGACCACTGACAGGAGGCTCCGTCCTTGACAGTGGAGGCAACTGTATAAACCTGGGTTGTTGTGTTTGTAGTCTCCCAGATGTACATCTTTCATCCTGGATAGGGGGGGGGGGGGAGGGGTGTGGCCAGAAATAAGATACTCACTATTGTTGATATAATACATATTTTCATATGAGTAGGTCACGGTCGGGCAGAATCTGCATATTTGTGACAGGTGTACAGCATGATGACATTGTAACTGTTGTTTTCTATTTGGCCTCTTCAGTCGATGTTGAAGAAGAGAAAGATGTGGAGAGCAGTGAGCAGTTTGAGAAACCTCCAGAAGATGATGGTAAGATGGCTTCCTTCTGTGGCTAGACATGAGATAGTTGTGCTGGTCATCTGTCTCCACAGTTGTAACATGGTGTCTGAAGAATGTCTGCCTTTGTTGTTTGTCTGTCTCTGGGAATCCAGCACTGAGTGATGTTTTATAGACTATGGTCAGGCATAGGTCAAAAGACATTTGTGTTTGTTTATTATGTGTCAGGCTGTGTTTAGTCACATAGGTGAAAGGCTGTTGAACATGAGTGAAGACCTCTAAACATGCAGGTCTTATTTTAGATTTATGATGTTCCACATTTTTTCAGTGTGCATTAAAGTTGCCAACCATGTCAGCATGAAAGGCTGCTGTCTCATGCTCCGCCAGTTGCCAGACAAGCTCATGTGTGTGTGTACCAGTCCTACTGCCAAGGGTCTGTCTATTCTGGTAATGCTATTTTGATTGTCCTGCTCACCAGCCCCTGCTTGGTTCACACTCACTGCACGCTAGATTGCCAAGATGTACACTTGTGCAGTAACCAGTTTATAGCTTCATGCTTGTTTCTTCAAGGTTTATGCCAAGTTTCAGCTGCAAGATAGCCAGTTTTCATTTTTATCCTCACTACCATTAATTCTTCAAGATCATAAACTGTACTGACAGTTTGAGGGTCAGATTTTGTTCAGGCTGTAATTATAACAACACATTGAGGTGTAGTCATGGAAAAGACGGGTTGTTCAAACTGTAGTTATAACAACACATTGAGATGTAGTCATGGTAACAGACAGGTTGTTTAACCTGTAGTTATAACAACACATTGAGATGTAGTCATGGGAAAAGACAGGTTGTTCAGGCTGTAGTTATAACAACACATTGAGATGTAGTCATGGGAAAAGACAGGTTGTTCAGGCTGTAGTTATAACAACACATTGAGATGTAGTCATGGGAAAAGACAGGTTGTTCAGGCTGTAGTTATAACAACACATTGAGATGTAGTCATGGGAAAAGACAGGTTGTTCAGGTTGTAGTTATAACAACACATTGAGATGTAGTCATGGGAAAAGACAGGTTGTTCAGGCTGTAGTTATAACAACACATTGAGGTGTAGTCATGGAAAAGACGGGTTGTTTAACCTGTAGTTATAACAACACATTGAGATGTAGTCATGGGAAAAGACAGGTTGTTTAACCTGTAGTTATAACAACACATTGAGATGTAGTCATGGGGAAGACAGGTTTTTCAGCTATAGATGTAACAAAACATTAAGGTGTAGTCATGGGAAAAGACAGGTTTTTCAGCTATAGATGTAACAAAACATTAAGGTGTAGTCATGGGAAAGACAGGTTTTTCAGCTATAGATGTAACAAAACATTAAGGTGTAGTCATGGGGAAGACATGTTGTTCAGACTGTAGTTATAATAATACATTAAGGTTTAGTCATGGGGAAGACAAGTTCCAGCTGACACACTCCTGGCTTGTATTGGCAGCCTGCACGAACTTGTCTTCTAGACATTTTATTTTCTGTCTTTTGTCTCAAAGGTCTCTTGGATATCGTCACCCCCCCCCCCCCCCCCCCCCAGAACTCTCTCTTCTCTCTCTCTCTCTCTGAATAGCCTTTTATCTACAATTGTCTGCTTAATTTAAACAAAAAACAGAATTAAATTATGTTTTGTGTGTTCTGGTTTTGATTTGGTTGAAACATTTGTTCCTCCTGTGTTTTCTTGTTGTTATAGTGAGTTAATCAGCCGTCATATATTGTCCTTGCCTTGTTACAAGGGCCAACCACTACAAGCAGGAATGGTTACATCTGTTTGAACCTGCTGCCTATCATCTCTCTTCTGTCACCAGCTACATGAGCTCTTGTCTGCTATTTGGGGGGGGGGGGGGGGGGGCTGTGCATTGTTCCTTAGTTTCTTTATTGTTGAATGCTTTTCTACATTGTATTCATTTCTGTATTTATTTGTCTCTTAAGTTTCAACTCATCAGCAGTTTGTCAGCTGGATCTACTTGTGTAAAATCTGATGTGGTGTAGAGAATATCCATACCTGTTTATACTGTTATCAGTGGGGCTCTCTGTACTGAGTCCTGACACTGCCACATTATCTCCCTTGAATCTTTTTGGGAGATGTGGAGATCTGGATATGGAATATTGCCAGGAAGTATCATGTTATGAGTAATTCCGCTGCTTGTTTTGTGTGTCACTAGGGCCAAATTTGTGAGCTGCTTCCTATCAAAAGACCCTAAATGTGCAGAACATAAAGTGGCAAGCTTTGATCTGGTGTTGTTCAGCGGAAGTGAACAGATAAAAGTGGCCCTTTGTCCAGCATAGTTTGCTAGATTTAGCTCCTTCAGTAGGCAGTAGTGTACACATTCTGCATGACTCCTGTCTTGCCTTCAGGACCACAGAAATATGTGTGACTGTCCTAGTGTCTGCAATACAACTGTCACTTAAAACTACATGGCTTTCTTCTCTTGTGAACAATGAGTGAGGGCTGCCCAATAACTTGATCAGCTGAGGTGTCCTACGGCTGTAATGCAGGAATGTATGCCTGCAGTTGCTGAGCTTTCCCCCTGGCTGTGTATCTGTTGATTGCTTATTTATTTTTATGATCATTTTTTTCCATCAGTTTTTATTTTTTTTAATCTTCTGGTTAAAAGTAGTGCAGCCTAACTTTCTGCTTCTTAGTTAGTCCTAGGCACTTGTAAGGCTTTCTAACATTTCGCTTATCACTTGAACTACTCGCCTTCGTCTAGTTGAGGGGGCTGCATGGTCTCGAGGCATGGTGTCTGCCTCGAGTGCTAGAGGTTCCCGGTTCAATCCCCGGAAAGGGCTGAGATTTTTTTCAGCTGGGCTTTGACTTCTAGTAATTCCTCCTGGTCTCAAAATAACGGCGTTGCCCGGGCAACATTTAGAGTTAAAAATCTACCCAAAGTATTTCAGGATCCTCAGGAGCCTGTGCACTGTGCTATGCTTCTTCGGACTTGAGTTAGAAGAAGAACAGAGGACTTATGGGTTACTACCTGTGTGCCATGATGTTGTTCCGTTGTTTAAAAAAAATGTTGGTTTAATCTAGTTGGTAGTAGTTGCTGCGAGACCCCTGCCTAGGAGCAGATATTTGCTGGGTAAAGAGTTATCTGATTGCTGGTAGAAGGTCAGTGGCACCATCAACTCCATTAGAGAGGCTGCTATCTGACTAGCTCATTATTTGGACACACTAGCAAGCATTATGTAGGATCTGTATTCTAGCTGTAATTAGTGAATACATTCTATGCTGTATTGTTTCAGCCAACAATATTTGACTAGTGCCTGGGTACCTACATCACTTATTTCCATACTTTCAGTTAAATGGTGCCAACCATGTATTTGAGTAGACTAAGAGAGCCACTCATCAAAGGTTTCACTGATTTCTGGTAGTTTTTGTTGTTTAAATGTGTGAACTATAGGGGCTTGTGAACTTGCATTCACAGGTGAAGAGCGGCACAAGCTACGAGAGGATGTTTATGAGGCCATGGCTGAGGGAGAGAGGGAGGAAGAATTGCACAAATCTGTCAAAAACAAATCTGGGGCATCTAGTGTCACAAACTGTGAGACGTCTACAGAGATAGCTGGCATGGGTCCTGACCAGGCACAGATTGTCCCAACAAAGAAACAGCTGACACAGACAGCTCAGGCAGGTAACGATGGGGCACCGATGGATGAGACCACTGTGGAGCACTTAGTTACAGCCTCCAGTGAGGAGACAGTGGCAAAAGAAGGTAGTGCTTCAGCAGTAGATAGGAAATTAGAGAGTCAAGCTGATGTAACAGAGCAACTGGGTTCCACTACTGCAGAGAGCATAGATCAACAGCCTGATTGCAAACAACCAGAAGAGCTGGACAAAAGTGGACACCAGAATACTGCTACAACAGCTGATAGTCAGGTGACACCAGCACTGACTGCTGCAGGTCAGGAGGAAGAACAGATGGACACTCGTCCGACGACCATTAGTGAGCAGTCTACTGTTACAGGTGATAGCGCAGGAGAGAAGGTCAGCCAGGAGAACAAGCCAGTGCTAGGAGACAGCATCAGCCCCACAGAGAGTGATGCCAGCAAGCAAGCTGGTCCTGGTGACCGCCCTGTTGGTGACCTGGAGCAGGAAACCTGTGCCGAGAAGATTGTCACGGAGGCTGTAAAAGAGGCGTGCCAGAAACTAGCAGATGAAGAGGCTCACAGCGGGGCGGCCTTGGCTGTTGATGATGATACAGACAAGGCTGATGCAGATGTGGAGATGGCAGATGAGGATGATGATGATGGTAAAGTGATTGTGTTGTAATTGTTGAACTTGGCATGTTATTCTGTAGCAGAATGCTGATTGAACTTGTTCCTTCAGCTAGGATCTATGGGAAAGGGTTGACACTGTCCATAGCTGGGTGTGGCACTGGCTGAAAAGGACAACATGCATAACTGAGGGGGGTGGGGTGGGGATTTGCTAGCTGGGAGAGAGATCATCTAAACAGATGGAGAGAGGGGGGGGGGGGGGGACAACTCAGTGCACATAAAGGTATCTGTGACCTCATATCTATGTAGCTGATCAGATCGAAGGTATCTCTGAGACGTCCCCTGTCAGCTTATCTGCTCACAATGGGGGACAGAGGTATCTCTGAGACCTCCCATCTCAACTTATCTGCTCACAGTTTGGGATGGAGGTATCTCTAGACCTCCCATCTCAGCTTATCTGCTCACAATGGGGGACGGAGGTATCTCTGAGACCTCCCATCTCAACTTATCTGCTCACAGTTTGGGATGGAGGTATCTCTAGACCTCCCATCTCAGCTTATCTGCTCACAATGGGGGACGGAGGTATCTCTGAGACCTCCTATCTTAACTTATCTGCTCACAGTGGGGGATGGAGGTATCTCTGAGACCTCCCATCTCAACTTATCTGCTCACATTGGGGGATGGAGGTATCTCTAGACCTCCCATCTCAGCTTATCTGCTCACAATGGGGGACGGAGGTATCTCTGAGACCTCCCATCTCAGCTTATCTGCTCACAATGGGGGACGGAGGTATCTCTGAGACCTCCCATCTCAACTTATCTGCTCACAGTGGGGGATGGAGGTATCTCTAGACCTCCCATCTCAACTTTGCTCACAGTGGGGGACAGAGGTATCTCTGAGACCTCCCGTATCAACTTATCTGCTCACAATGGGGGAGGAAGGTGTCTCCGAGACTACCTAACTGAAGACACACTTACTGATGAGACCATCCGAGGATGTTGAGAGAGTATATATTGGAGCTTAGACCTGGCTAGTTCTCCACAAGTGTTACCGGAGGGATGGGCATATACACTTACCTGTCTCATTTGCTAGAGAGCTTGTTGAGGTATAGATTCTTGACGTGAAGACCATACATAGCATATGATCTGGGGTTTTTTTTTAAAAGGTTTTATGTAAGGATATAACTGTATCTGAGTTTATCTGTGAAGACCATACATAGCATATGATCTGGGGTTTTTTAAAAGGTTTTATGTAAGGATATAACTGTATCTGAGTTTATCTGTGAAGACCATACATAGCATATTATCTGGGTTTTTTTTTTCAAGGTTTTATGTAAGGATATAACTATCTCAGTTTATCTGTGAAGACCATACATAGCATATTATCTGGGTTTTTTAAAAGGTTTTATGTAAGGATATAACTATCTCAGTTTATCTGTGAAGACCATACATAGCATATTATCTGGGTTTTTTAAAAGGTTTTATGTAAGGATATAACTATCTCAGTTTATCTGTGAAGACCATACATAGCATATTATCTGGGTTTTTTTAAAAGGTTTTATGTAAGGATATAACTGTATCTCAGTTTATCTGTGAAGACCATACATAGCATATTATCTGGGTTTTTTTTAAAAGGTTTTATGTAAGGATATAACTGTATCTGAGTTTATCTGTGAAGACCATACACAGCATGCATTCTAATTTTTCTTTTTTAATGTTGGGATATTTCTTTGTCTAGCTGTGAATGGAGCTGACGATGATGATGGTGAAGATGTCAATGCTGAAACTGACAATGAAGAAAATAGAGAGGAAAAAGCAGATGTAAGCATTCAAAGATTGTCACAATGTCATGATGTCATTAGCAAGAATAATTTGGTCCACACCTGCTGATCTGTAATCTTTGTTCACTAGCTGACATCTTGTCTTCTTATCTAGGCTTGTTTGTGTGTATTGTGCTGAATTTCATTACTTTGTATTGTATTGTTGAACTATAAAACGCCTTTTAGGGTGTTGATGGAATCTGTTTAGAAATTGATGAACTATGGAAAAAACACCAGTTATTAAATTTAGCTTAGCATTTGTGGCTTAGACATTGCGAGTCTGACTCGTAATTCCAACATACCGCGATCGAAACCCACTGCTAGCTGCGTGGATTTTTATCATGGTACAGGGCGTCGCAGACTGACCCAGCCTAAAATGGGTACCACTTTGTATGTCCTAGGTAAGTAAAGAAGGCTGGCGTAATGCTGACCACATTACCCACCTAGTGCTGATTGATCTAAAAAATATGGGTGCTCTTGTCATGGCTCGGGTCAGAGGTGTGGGTGCTTTCATTTTTATTCACCGCAGACAGTCTGTTTCAGGGGGTGGTAGATAGATAGGCTGCATACGGTCGTGGGACCTAGGCTGCACTCTCTCGTGGGACACAGGTGGGTTGGGGTTAGGTCCAGTTCTAGATGTTTTTTGGAAGCCGGGAAATCTGGTCTTACCACCCTATAAAATATTGGTCTGTCCTTGTGATATCATCTGGGGGTGACTTATTACAAAAGAACAGATCTGTTTTTGTTATTCTTTCTCTCTCTTCTCTCTTCTCTTCTCCCCCTCCCCCCCCCCCCCCCCCCTTTCCCAATGCTTGTAAGAAAGAGAGCAGATGTTGCTGGTAGTAGCTGCTTGACTGAAAGAAGAGCTTGATGTGTGTAGATTTCATATGAAGATATTTGAGGCCCTTTATAACAGTAGTCTGCTTCTACCACCTGCTACAGGATGTCCCCAACTTCCAGCTAGCCTGGGAGTACCTGGAGCTGGCCAAGGTCATCTTTCTCAAGTAAGTTTCTTTCTCTTGTCTCAGTATCAGCTAGTTTGTGCTGTCTTTTAGTACTTACACACATGCTGACACACATGTGCAGACACACATATGCTAACACACATGTGCAGACAGCTGTTGTGGTTTCCAGACTATAGCTAACCTTGTTTTCCTAGGTGACCCATAATTCTTTGTAATGCAGTGACCATTACTTGTTCAGTATTTTAATTCAGGGTTTATACAGGTCTTTACAGTGTTGTTACTGCCCCTTGTTTTCTAGGTAGTAGATGTGGGGCATGGCCATTGTAGTGACATGATGAGATGCTGATGCCATGTGATGTCACATTTGTGGTTTTGATTGACTGATGTCTGTCTGTGTGTGTGATCAACAGGTCTGAGTCGGTGGAGGATCAGCTCAAGGCTGCGGACTGCCACATCAAGTTGGGAGAGCTCAGCATGGAAACAGGTACTGGCTGTCTTTATAGTCTCCTGCTTTTTGTAGATTTGTGGCTCCTAATAGGGTTGTCTCACAGATTGTACACATGACTCCTAGTGGCTCTTGAAACTTTGAAAAACCCTTAAACGGCAGCTAGACTCTGAAAGGTCTTGAATGTAATTTTCCGGCAGTTGAATATTTTAAAAATAATTACAAATAAAAAATGACCCATATATTTGAGAATCATTTATCATCACTTCATCAAAAAAACAGCCTTGCTTTCATTCATCACCTCTTTCCAGCCATAGTGCAAATCCTCTGTACCTGACATACATTGTGGGGGTGGGGGGACGTTTTGTCTGCTAGCTGAAATATTGGGCCGTGCTTGTTAATGGGATGGACAATTATTTCAGAGAGGAGTGTGTTTTTCTTTGATATTAATCTTATTCTCTCGATTTGTTTTTCTTTTAATGCAACCCTACGGTTTGACCTGTTTGGCAATTGACTGGACAGACAGATAATCAGCATAGTTCTACTGCCTATGTGTCTCTCTTTCCGTCTTCCCCTCCCTCCATCTCCTCCTACCTCTTTGTAGCTTTCTGTGTCTGCCTCCCTCCCTTTCTGTCTGTTTGCCTCCCTCTTTGTCTGTTTGCCTCTGCCTCCCTCCCTGTGTATCTCTGTCTGATTGCTTCACGCCCTCTCTGTATCTGTCTGTATACTTTTTTTAATGTTTTTTTTTTTATGGGGGGGGGGGGGGGGGGGGGGTCTCTTTTCCTCCCTCCCTCAGTCTTTCTATCTCACTATGTCTCTTTGCCTGTCTCCCTTCCTGGGTACCTCTCAATTTTCCTTTTTCTTTCACCATAACTGTATCTATCTGTTTGCCCCCTCTCTCACTCCCACTCCGTAGGTCTGCTTGACCCTCTTTCCCCCTTCTTTGCCTCCCCTTCTATTATTTCACTCTATCTCCCAGTCTGTCTCTCTTCCTCCCCCCCCCCCCCCCCCCCCCCCTGTCACTGCCACCCTCTATCCTTCCCTCTTTCATGTCTTCATCATCTCTGCTCTAACTCTCTATCTGTTTTTTCCTCATACCTCTCTTTCTACCTCCCTCCAGCTTTTTTCACACTATCTGCCTATTCCTCTCACTGTCTCTTTCCTTGTCTGTCCCTCACTTTCTTCCTATGTGTGTGTCTCTTCTATCTCTCTCTCTTTTTCTCTCTTTTCCAAGTATCTGGTCCGGAGCAGACAGCACTTTAATGACTCCCATTTCACTCTATATTTTCTCCTGAGTTCACCGAGCCATATGTGGTCTAGCATTTTCATGAAGGAGCAGTACTCCTCTAGTCATCAAGCCTGGGTGTTTTCTTCATGAAGCATCTATAGAACTGTATAGTATAAACCAGCATTCACATTGTCACCTTTTTTTTTTTTTTTTTATATAAATGGTTAAAAACACTCCTTGACAATCCCAGAATGCAGTTAACATAACCTTTCCTGCTGATGGTGTAACCTTGGAAGTTCTGAATACAGGGCAAACATAGAACAAGGATGTTTCCTTTGCACTGAAGCACACTTTGATTTGGAGTGGTCGTGATGTACCCATGATTCATCCCCAGTAATAATCCTGTTCAGCATGTCCTGTCCTTTATCTTCATATCGACAGAGATGCTGCAAGGACAGGCCTAATTGGTTCATTTTGTGTTGTTTCATCACTTTTCTGGGCACCCACCTTGAACACATACTTTCTTAAATTTCAGTCGATCAGATCATGCATTATGTTGTATGCTGAACCATGTGAGCACCCTGGTGCAGCTGCTACAGAGTCAGCCGTTACTTGCCTGTCACCTCTAATCATCACCTCCACCCGCTGCACGGATGGGTCTGTTGCAATCCCAACAAGACGACCAGATCGGACTTCATCAACAATTTGAGAAATTCTTTTTTTACCCGGCTATGCACTGCTTTATGGGATAAACATTTGTCAGCATAAACAGGGAGCATTTCCCTATAAATGTACTTTGCAGGCAGCCCAAGTACAGTTGCCGTTTTTATCTCTGTGTTGCAAATGCGCATGCAACACCTAGCACCACCTAATGAACGAAGATATAAAATTAAACGTTGCTATGGTAGGTCATGTCACACAGGGTACATATTTTGTATGTGTATATATATCTGTATAGTCTGGTGAGTTGCATGTGCCACACAAGATTAGACAATAGGTTTTGTCTGTCATCTGCATATCTAATATGTTCAAACTTGGAGATTTATAATTTGATGAATGTGTGTGTGTCACACATGAACCTCTACAGATGTGTGGCTGACACTGCAATGGTGCTGCTGTCTGTAGGCAGGTACTGGTTTGTGTGGGAGAGACTGCTGTTTGACATTGTTTTCTCTCTTTCCCAGAGCAATACTCTACAGCTGCCGGTGATCTAGAAGCTGCCTTAAAGATTCAGCAGAAACATCTGCCTGCTAATGACCGACTGATTGCAGAAACTCATTATCAGCTGGGACTGGCCTATGGTTTTGGGGGAGAATATGAACAGTCCATTCAGCAGTACACCACAGCCATCAGTATCCTCCAGTCCAAAATTGGTAATGCAATACATGTGTTTAATAATGTTGTCCATTTTGTCTTCTATTTATTCTGTGACAGTACTTCTGGTATGTCATACCTGCCCTGCTGGTATCAAGTTCTGTATCAGTCTTACCTGTTCTGTTGGTGTAAAGTTCTGTGTCAGTCTTACCTGTCCTGTTGGTGTGAAGTTCTGTGTCTGTCTTACCTGTCCTGTTGTGAAGTTTTGTATCAGTCTTACCTGTCCTGTTGGTGGGAAGTTCTGTGTCAGTCTTACCTGTCCTGTTGTGAAGTTCTGTATCAGTCTTACCTGTTCTGTTTGGTGGGAAGTTCTGTGTCAGTCTTACCTGTCCTGTTGGTGGGAAGTTCTGTGTCAGTCTTACCTGTCCTGTTGGTGGGAAGTCCTGTGTCAGTCTTACCTGTCCTATTGGTGGGAAGTTCTGTATCAGTCTTACCTGTTCTGTTGGTGTAAAGTTCTGTGTCAGTCTTACCTGTCCTGTTGTGAAGTTCTGTATCAGTCTTACCTGTTCTGCTGGTGTGAAGTTCTGTGTCAGTCTTACCTGTCCTGTTGGTGTGAAGTTCTGTGTCTGTCTTACCTGTCCTGTTGGTGTTAAGTTCTGTGTCCGTCTTACCTGTTCTACTGGTTTCCTGAGTTTGGAAAGGGCAAGAAGAGCTCTGTGGTAGTTCCCATAGAGAGTACTTCGATAATGGGCCAGGAAGAAAGCCTCTAGAAACCTTAGAGGTTAAACCAGCTGCAAGTGTCAGCAGGCTGAACAGCTAACATCATGGCCTTCCAGGGGATTCGACAACAAACCAACCCAATGGCTCTTAATATTCGACCGGAAACCTAAGGAGCTTCATGGGACTGTAATGTGCTGTATTGTGTAAGTACTGCCATCAGTTGTAGACTTGTCTGCAGGCTTCACTAGTGTCACACTGTATATGACTACTGCATGTCCGTCCACATGCCGATAATCTGTATGATATGTATCCTCCAGAGTCACTCAGTCAGCTGGTCAAGGAGAAGGAGGTCAACGGTGAGGACAAAGGTGAGATACAGCATGAAAGAGTGGTCCTCATCACTAATAGTGAATGAACAACAGTCTGTATTGTGTAATCTCACACTGTGTCAGTCAGCAACATTTCATCTCCTCTATGTTGTGTAATCTCACAATGTGTCAGTCAGCATTTCATCTCCTCTGTGTTATGTAATTTCACACTGTGTCAGTCAGCATTTCATCTCCTCTATGTTGTGTTATCTCACAATGTGTCAGTCAGCATTAATTTATCTCCTCTGTGTTGTGTAATCTCATTACTTCCATTGCATGCTCCTCCCTCCCCACACTGTGCTGCTCTAAGTAGTAAATTTGACACGATACACTGCCTGCCACTGCAGAAGAGAAATGCAGCGAGTGAGTGGTTCAAACAACATCCCTTGCATTCCTCATTTTTCTCTTCCTGTCAACATCCATGCTACCCACAGTGCACACACCTTCTTATGTTGCGGTTGTTTTTTTTAACTGTCCCAGTTGCCACATTGAATTCTTTTGATAGTGTACCTATGCTTCGACAACAGTTCACCTGTAGTGCTGCATCACTTTTGTCTGTTGGAACGGTATGCGTTTAACCCGGCCGAAGAAGATCTGTTCAGTCAGAAACTCATATTCTGTCTGAAATATTCATACCACCTGTCACTATTGTCTTAGACATACATTTGTTACTAGCGTTTTTCAGTGAATATCAACTGTCAATGTGAAACTGAATCACCACTCTTTGAACTTCTTTAGATGGATTTTTGATTAACCCAGCAATTTTCTTAACCGAAAAACGACTTTTGTATCATGGGACGATAAACACAAGCTGTTTTATTGGTTGTTCAGTGCCTGTCACATGACTCTGACAGGTTTCATTTGCATGTTGTGGACGCTTGACAGGCAAGTGTGCAATCACTTAGTGGCTGAATACTTGCTTAGCTCATGTTGGTCACTTCTTACATTCTGGTTAGTGTTTGTATGTTCATGTTTGCACTATTTGGTTTCTTGTTTATTGACCTAATCTTTGTATACACAAATTTTTATCTGGGTTATACAGAGAATGCTGAAGTTGGTGAGCTGAAAAAGTACCAGGATGAAATCAGAGAGCTACAGGACTTGATCCCTGAAATAAACAATAAGGTGAGCGGTTGCTTCCTCATTCCAGAGATATGTTTGTGAGGCTGAAACATTGGTAGCTTTTTTAACTGATCTAGACTAGAAACATTGGTAGCTTTTTTAACTGATCTAGACTAGAAACATTGGTAGCTTTAACTGATCTAGACTAGAAACATTGGTAGTTTTAACTGATCTAGACTAGAAACATTGGTATTTTTAACTGATCTTGACTAGAAACATTGGTAGCTTTTTTAACTGATCTAGACTAGAAACATTGGTAGCTTTTTTAACTGATCTAGACTAGAAACATTGGTAGCTTTGACTGATCTAGACTAGAAACATTGGTAGTTTTGACTGATCTAGACTAGAAACATTGGTAGTTTTAACTGATCTAGACTAGAAACATTGGTAGTTTTAACTGATCTAGACTAGAAATATTGGTAGTTTTAACTGATCTAGACTAGAAACATTGGTAGCTTTTTTAACTGATCTAGACTAGAAACATTGGTAGCTTTTTTAACTGATCTAGACTAGAAACATTGGTAGCTTTAACTGATCTAGACTAGAAACATTGGTAGCTTTTTTAACTGATCTAGACTAGAAACATTGGTATTTTTAACTGATCTTGACTAGAAACATTGGTAGCTTTAACTGATCTAGACTAGAAACATTGGTAGCTTTTTTGACTGATCTAGACTAGAAATATTGGTAGCTTTTTTAACTGATCTAGACTAGCAACATTGGTAGCTTTTTTAACTGATCTAGACTAGAAACATTGGTAGTTTTAACTGATCTAGACTAGAAACATTGGTAGTTTTAACTGATCTTGACTAGAAACATTGGTAGTTTTAACTGATCTAGACTAGAAACATTGGTAGTTTTTTTAACTGATCTAGACTAGAAACATTGGTAGCTTTTTTAACTGATCTAGACTAGAAACATTGGTAGCTTTTTTAACTGATCTAGACTAGAAACATTGGTAGCTTTTTTAACTGATCTTGACTAGAAACATTGGTAGCTTTAACTGATCTTGACTAGAAACATTGGTAGCTTTTTTAACTGATCTAGACTAGAAACATTGGTAGCTTTTTTAACTGATCTTGACTAGAAACATTGGTAGCTTTTTTAACTGATCTTGACTAGAAACATTGGTAGCTTTTTTAACTGATCTAGACTAGAAACATTGGTAGCTTTGACTGATCTAGACTAGAAACATTGGTAGCTTTTTTAAACTGATCTAGACTAGAAACATTGGTAGCTTTTTTAACTGATCTAGACTAGAAACATTGGTAGCTTTTTTAACTGATCTAGACTAGAAACATTGGTAGCTTTTTTAAACTGATCTAGACTTGAAACATTGGTAGCTTTGACTGATCTAGACTAGAAACATTGGTAGTTTTAACTGATCTAGACTAGAAACATTGGTAGCTTTTTTAACGGGTCTAGACTAGAAACATTGGTAGTTTTAACTGATCTAGACTAGAAACATTGATAGTTTTTTTTTACTGATCTAGACTAGAAACATTGGTAGTTTTGTTACTGTGGCCACTAACTGCACAACTTTCCTAGTTCTGACACTAAAACACACACACATTCCATGATTCATCAGGTTGAGGACATGAGGCTGGAGGCCAGGGAAGTGCAGCAGGTGAAACAGATGGCACAGGAGGCCATGGGCTTCCCACTTGTTACACAGGTTTGTGTGTGTGTGTGTGTGTGTGTGAGAGAGCACTGATAAACCTGAAAAGTGTGGTTAGCCTGCTGTGTTTGAAATTGCCTTGTGATTGGATCTAGTTCTTGTCTGTCAGGTGTCGCCCTGCAAATGTCTTGTCTAGTTTTTGTCTGTCAGGTGTTGCCCTGCAAATGTCTTGTCTAGTTCTTTTCTGTCAGGTGTTGCCCTGCAAATGTCTTGTCTAGTTCTTGTCTGTCTTGTGTTGCCCTGCAAATGTCTTGTTTATGTCTGTCATGATCTAACGTTGTCCCTCCCATAGAAACTGTTTATATGCCAATTTCTCTGTTGCAATAAACCTGGATAAGATACTTCATGTCCATAACTCTAAGACTGGAAAATGTGAGAACTTCATGTAATGTGAAGAGACAGTAATCTTGTCAGATGTTGCTGGCCATGCTGGTAGCTGTATGTGACATGTCCCCTGTGGGTTGCTATCACATTCTCAGATAGTTGCCTGCATGGATTGTCCAAACTGCTGCTGAAGGTCTCTTGCTGACACTAAACCTCTAGTCTGGGAGATCTAATCTGATCAGCTCAGGTGTGAGTGGTGCATCTATGCTCCTCTCTCCTTTCTTGTACAGGACAGAAACAAGTGCAGCCCAGCAGCCTGTCTGCAGACAAATATGGCAGTCAGTTGATGGAAAGAGTGGGTCATTGGAACCAACAGGGTGCAAGTTATCTCTGCTACCACAGGTTGGATGCCTGCTGTTATATCATGTCTTTGTGGAAACTGCACTGCTCAATGAAATCATCTACAGTCTGTAAAGACAATCCTGTGTCATCTACAATATAACTTTTGCCATCTACAGATCTCTTAGATGTCTACATGGCATAAGATCTGTCTTTATGGACTGGAGATGTCTCAGCTGAACAGTGCAGTTTCATTGAGGCCATCATATAGTGGCAGTCCTACAGGACATCTGACATCATCTACTCCTGCAGGATATATTAGTCAAGCGGTTCAGTCAGAATTTTAGTCTGTCTTTTATTGAATCAGATCAATAACCTAATATCTCAAGACAGCTTACTGGCAGACTGGAGAGACCATAAGCCTATGAGACCTGGGTTTGCCTCTGCTCGGGCTAGTAAGTAGTTTCTCAGTTCTGTGAGGCCTGTGTTTGAAGAATTGTTTGCCTCTGCTCTGGCTAGTAATTAGTTTCTCAGTTCTGTGAGGCCTATGTTTGAAGAATTGTGTTTGCCTCTGCTCTGGCTAGTAATTAGTTTCTCAGTTCTGTGAGGCCTGTGTTTGAAGAATTGTTTGCCTCTGCTCTGGCTAGTAATTAGTTTCTCAGTTCTGTGAGGCCTATGTTTGAAGAATTGTGTTTGCCTCTGCTCTGGCTAGTAATTAGTTTCTCAGTTCTGTGAGGCCTATGTTTGAAGAATTGTTTGCCTCTGCTCTGGCTAGTAATTAGTTTCTCAGTTCTGTGAGGCCTATGTTTGAAGAATTGTTTGCCTCTGCTCTGGCTAGTAATTAGTTTCTCAGTTCTGTGAGGCCTATGTTTGAAGAATTGTGTTTGCCTCTGCTCTGGCTAGTAATTAGTTTCTCAGTTCTGTGAGGCCTGTGTTTGAAGAATTGTTTGCCTCTGCTCTGGCTAGTAATTAGTTTCTCAGTTCTGTGAGGCCTATGTTTGAAGAATTGTGTTTGCCTCTGCTGGAGCAGAAGCTGATAGTTTCTCAGTTCTGTGTAATTCAAGTCTGAGTTACTAGTTTGTTGATTCTTGTACCTGATGTGTATGTGTTGGCAGGAAACCGACTCTGGGTCACTGACGCCCAAGATGGACACCACTGATCCAAGTGCAGGGGATTCTGTGTTGCTGGAGGTAAATCACCTAGTTCTTTACAATTGATCTTATGTCAGTATCTTCTGTAATCTGTGTCAAATCACTGAAGCTTTAGCTTTTCAACTTCTCCCTCATAGACTTAACATTCTGTATAGTGACATAAGGGTATGATTCAAGTGCTTGACATGAAAATATACAGACCATCTGATTTATTTCAGTACTTGGACCATCTATGGTGGAAAGTTCTCCAAGAACAGTAAAACAAAATATACAGTAACAGATATATTTTTTGACAAAGTTTCAAACTAGGGATTAAGCCCAGGCTCTTTTACAAGTTAGGCAGACATGATAACCACAACACTACAGATGAACTCATCTGTCTTATTGAAAGATACATGTATTCTCTTTTGTATAATCACAGTATACAAACTGTCTTGTGGCATATTTAAAGCCATTTGGGATACCATTATTCTGGTCCTAAGAATAATATTCAAGAAATACAATCCTGTTTGCGATATACATGTGCAAGACAGCCTAGCATATGACGCCACAACATCTAGAATGAGAATGGAGGTGGAGGCAGTAATTGCAGCTCTCCGGTGGCTAGAGAACAAGATGCATACACATGTCGTAAGTGTAACAGACTCTTAAATCATGCTGAAAAAGGTGAAGACAGATGCTTTAAGCAGAGTGGCTAGCTTCACTGGAAAGGTCACGGGTGGTGAGCATACTTTGGATCTTTTCTCCAGGCTATGCCAGCATGGTGGGTAATGATCAGGTAGACAGATTAGCTGGATCTGCACCACTGGGTGGTGAACTGATACATGACAAGACAGATGTGGTCAAAGCCCTTTAGGAACAAGCAACGGAATCAGTAGAGAAAGATTATTATTATGGCCTGGGGAGAATGAGGCACCTGGGTGTAACCAGAGGGTCTGGCCTGCTCACTACACTCAGAGGAAAGGCAAGACTGACTTTTAACCAGATTGTGACCGGTACCAGCAGTATTGGAACTCTGCGCTGGTTGCTGAAGATAAGGACAGAGCATGCATGGGAATGTCCTGAGTGCTGTGATGTCAATTCTCAACTCCAATCCCGTTTTTTCAACAGCTGCCCCCACCCCATGTGGGGGGGGGGGGGGGGGGGGGGGGGGGGGGGGGGGGGGGGGGGGGGGGGTGGGGGGGGGGGGGGGGGGGGGGGGGGGGGGTGGGTGGGGGGGGGGGGGGGGGGGGGGGGCCATCCGAGGATGCTACACTCCACATCAAATTGTTCACGCTGGGAAACACTTGTATAAACTTTAAACTTTTGCGACTCTTACTGCTAAAAGAAAATGATTCACCAGACTTTAAACTTGAAGGGAGATAACAGCCAAATAGAGATTTTGAAAATTAATTTCCTTAGTAGATATAAGAAAATCTGTAGGTACTCAAGGAATATGGCCGCAGGGATGTCAACTTGTTATTTTCATGGCATTATTTATTAGAAACATGAAGAACTCTTCTGCAGTAAACCTAGACATTTCAGCTAGTGATATCTGCACATCTCACCACTCCATAGGTCAGTCAGTGTGATTAGAGCAGTTCTTGTGACATGAACAGATCAAGACAGGCAATTAGATTTTCACTTGTACATTATAGCTGGTGTAAACAGTTCTGGACCCCATATATCATTTTTTATGTATTGAACATTTGTAGAGTATCGTGTGAATAATTGCTGTCTTTCAGGTGTCACTTTAAATATATTTAAAATGTATAGAGTACTGTGTGAATAATTGCTGTCTTTGTGTGTCACTTTAAATATATTTAAAATGTATAGAGTACCGTGTGTATTGATAATGTTGCTGTCTTTGTGTCAGGTGTCACTTTAAATATATTGAAAATGTATAGAGTACCGTGTGAATAATTGCTGTCTTTGTGTGTCACTTTAAATGTATTGAAAATGTATAGAGTACCGTGTGAATAATTGCTGTCTTTGTGTGTCACTTTAAATGTATTGAAAATGTATAGAGTACCGTGTGAATAATTGCTGTCTTCAGGTGTCACTTTAAATATATTGAAAATGTATAGAGTACCGTGTGAATAATTGCTGTCTTTGTGTGTCACTTTAAATGTATTGAATATTTACAAGTCTCACACGGATGGTTGTTGCCTTCAAGTATCAGGAATGTTTGTGCTTTTTTTTCCTCGCAGCAACAGGCCAGTGATATTGGTCACCTGGTGAGGAAAAAGGTGAGCACTTCACCTGTTCTCTTAACTGCCAGTGTATTTTCATCATTGTTGTATGCCCTGGGGCTTGAAGGGAATATGTGTGTCAACCCTATGTACTTTTTCTACCTGTCTTATATTTCTGTCATAGTATATACGTATATGCTTATTGCAGAATCAGTGAGTTAAAAAAAATCATTAGTCGTTTATTCATTAAATATTTTTCACATGGCTTGCTCAACTGACATGACCACCTTTGTCCCTCCCTCACTGGCATAACCCAATTCGTCCAACACCGACAAGACCCCATTTGTCCCTTACTGACATGGCGCCATTTGTCCAGCAACTGACATGTCCCCATTTGTGCAGCACTAACTGACATGTCCCCATTTGCCCAGCATCAACTGACATGTCCCCATTTGCCCAGCATTGACTGACATGTCCCCATTTGCCCAGCACTCAACTGACATGTCCCCATTTGTTCAGCATCAAATGACATGTCCCCATTTGTCCAGCACTAACTGACATGTCCCCATTTATTCAGCACTAACTGACATTTCCCCATTTGTGCAGCACTGACACCATTTATCCAGCATTAACTGACATGTCCCCATATATCCAGCACTAACTGACATGTCCCCATTTGTTCAGCATAAAATGACATGTCCCCATTTATCCAGCACCCACTGACATGTCCCCATTTATCCAGCACTCACTGACATGTCCCCATTTGTCCCTCACCCACTTGTGACACAGTCGTATATTTCACATCCCCCAAGAATGGATGTGCCTAATTCGGAACTTAGGATAATATAGATACTGGTTGTAAGTTGATTAATTTTCATGTTTAACAACACGGCCAGATGTGGTTCTTTATTTCATCAATATTGTCAAGTCCAAGCAGTACAAATACATTCCATTTATACATGGCTTAACATTCTAGTCTTATTCTGGCTATTCATATATGTGACGATAAGTTCTTTCTTCCCTCTAGCAAAGCAAAAACCAAAGGTTCGCATATCTTCTAACGAAGTTTTCTCAACCACCCTCTCAAGCGGCTAGGCACTCACTGTCTCGTCTCTCCCACACCCTCTCCTCTTCCCGGTTTGGCTTCCTGATCACCCCCTGTCACCCTTCATCCTCAACTGTTTTCTTCTTCCTCTCGTCTGCCCTGGACAGCCTCTTGGCTTTCATCTTTCTACATCCATCATTGTTCAGATGTCACGGCTTTATTGGGATAACCCTACTCTGTTCAACTCTGGTCGCAGTGCACCTGTACCCGCGTGCTACTCCAAAGGTTTCTGGTTTATCTGTTTGGCTTTTGTCTGACCAGCGTTCTAATCCAGCCTCTTGGCTTTCATCTTTCTACATCCATCATTATCAGATGTCACAGCTTTATTGGGATAACCGTAATCTGTTTAACTCTGGTCGCAGTGCACCTGTACCCACGTGCTACTCCAAAGGTTGCTTGTTTATCTGTTTGGCTTTTGTCTGACCAGCGTTCTAATCCAGCCTGTTGGCTTTCATCTTTCTACATCCATCATTGTCAGATGTCATGGCTTTATTGGGATAACCGTAATCTGTTCAACTCTGGTCGCAGTGCACCTGTACCCACGTGCTACTCCAAAGGTTACTGGTATATCTGTTTGGCTTTTGTCTGACCAGCTTCTAATCACAGTTGTTTATCATGCCACCCAGTGATGGATTGGCCTGCATTGATGCTGGTCTGAATGAATGCATTCTTCATTTAACCACTTTCTCAACCTTCCTATTTCACTTCACACTGACATGACCCCATTTGTCCCTCTCTCTGACATGACCACATTTGCCCCTCTCACTGACATGACCCCATTTGCCCCTCACCCACTGACATGACCCTAGTTGTCCTTCACCTGATATTGTCACATTTCAGAGGAAACCTGACACAGATTTGGCTGATGAGGCCCAGGAAGTCAAGAAGATCCGACCTGACAATTGTGGGGATGGCTCCAGTGAAGTCCTCAGCCACAAGCCAGTTAGTGAAGCATCACATATCGGGGATGTTGCTGAGACAGTGGACAAGTCTGCTGGTTTGAGAACAGATAGTGTAGCTCTGGCAGCTGGCCCAGCTACTGGGCAGTCTGAGATGGTCATTGATGCTGAAACATCTCCACCAGGACCTGCTGCTGGAGCAGCCAGTGAATCGTCCGGTAGTCAGCTGCCAGTTAGTGGACTATCAGAGGCTAGTGGTGATATAGCAGAATCTGCCCCAGCTCATACAGAAAGTGAGATGGTTGCTGTTGGTGAAACTTCACAACCTGAGCCAGTGAGTGGGGAACCTGTCATTGAAGCTAGTAGTGACACTGCAAAACCTGAGCCAATTAGTGGGGAACCTATCGTTGAAATTAGTAGTGACACTGCAAAACCTGAGCCAGTTAGTGGGGAACCTATCGTTGAAATTAGTAGTGACACTGCAAAACCTGAGCCAATTAGTGGGGAACCTATCGTTGAAATTAGTAGTGACACTGCAAAACCTGAGCCAGTGAGTAGGGAACCTGTCATTGAAATTAGTAGTGAGACTACAAAACCTGAGTCACTTAATGAGCAAACTGTTGTTGATACCATTAGTGAAAGATCAAAACCCAAACCAGTTAACGGAGATTCTGACACGAGTATAGCTTTACAAGCTGAGGTGGTTCATGGGTTTATTAGTGGGGAATCTGAAGCAGATGAGATCAGACTATCATCTGGAACTGAACCACTTCATGGGAATTCTCAGCTAGATGCAGTAAGCAAGTCATCTCAAATGGAACTTGCTAACGTAGAATCTCAGGCGGACGAGGTTATCAAATCCTTTACAGTTAAACCACTAAATGGAGAGTCTGAGATGGACACGGTCATCAAGTCCTCAAAATCTGGGCCAATTATTGGAGAATCTGAGATGGATGTAGTCAGCAAATCCTCTAAAATAGAGCCCATTAATGGGGACATCATGGATGTTAATGAATCCTCCAAAGTTGAGCCTATGAATGGAGATAGCGTAGATGTTGATGAAACCTCTAAAGTAGAGCCCATTAATGGAGACAGCATGGATGTTAATGAATCTTCCAAAGTTGAGCCTATGAATGAAGATAGCATAGATGTTGATAAAACCTCTAAAGTAGAGCCCATTAATGGAGATAGCCTAGATGTTAATGAATCCTCCAAAGTTGAGCCTGTAAATGGAAATTCCAAGGATGTGGTTGAGTCTTCTAAAACTCTGCCAGTGAATGGAGAATCAGAAGTAAAGAAACAATTGGCTGATGGGGGAACAGATCTGGACACAAATACAGGAGAATGCCAGCTGGAAGCTGTTGTTGTTGTTAAGGACAGCTGCAGTCTGAACAGTCGTGTGAGTAAATATGTCAGTGTTTGTTTGTCTCTGTTTTGTGTTGCAGAACTTTGTTCTCAACCTTTGCCTACAGTAAGTGTCCAACTGCAGCTAGTGTTCTCTCTTTCTCTCTCTCTTTATCTCTGGCTATCAGTGTGTGTGTGTGCATGCATGTGTATGATAGATGCTGATAACCACAGCCATGTGCTGGATGTTGATAGTGTTAGAATGAGTGGATCATTTTTTTTAAATCCATGGACCTTTTGTCTGAGCATAGGATCTGATACCTCACAGTAGTCTAGTCTGAGGTAGTCCTTTGAATCAGTGGTCACTCAATGTGTGTAGGCTTGTAGTTAAGTAGTGACCAGGTTCTATAATGTTCATCATGTAATGTTGTAGTGGTCAATCAGTGTATTTAGGCTTGTAAAGTAGTGACAAGGTCCTGTAATGTAGTGGTCAATCAGTGTATGTAGGGTAGTAGCTAATTAAGTAGTGACCATGTTATTTTGTAGTGGTCAGTCAGTGTATGTAGGATGGTAGTTAAGTAGTGACCATGTTATTTTGTAGTGGTCAGTCAGTGTATGTAGGATGGTAGTTGAGTAGTGACCATGTTATTTTGTAGTGGTCAGTCAGTAAATGTAGGATGGTAGTTGAGTAGTGACAGTGTTATTTTGTAGTGGTCAATCAGTGTATGTAGGATGGTAGTTGAGTAGTGACCATGTTATTTTGTAGTGGTCAGTCAGTGTATGTAGGATGGTAGTTGAGTAGTGACAATGTTATTTTGTAGTGGTCAATCAGTGTATGTAGGATGGTAAAGTAGTGACCATGTTATTTTGTAGTGGTCAATCAGTGTATGTAGGATGGTAGTTGAGTAGTGACCAGATTCTGTAATATTATGTTGTGAACAGGTTTCTGAGAATGACCTGTGCCTACTGTTTCTCTTGCAGGATGAAGTTTCCATGGAGACGGAGACAACTGCATCATAATCCACTTCTGTTTGTTGATTGCTGGCCAGTTTGGCCGTCATTTCCATTTTTTGATTTCACTGGCTTTCTTGTTTTTTAATGTAATGTTTCACATTATGAACCGTCTTTGTGAGGCAGAAGCTGACTGGGGGAATCTGTCTGTGCTGTCAGCTCAACACCTGGCCAGCCGGTCATAGCTGATGCCTGACCACATGTCATAGCTGACACCTGACCACGGGTTATAGCTGACACCTGACCACGGGTCATAGCTGACACACCTGACCACGGGTCATAGCTGACACACCTGACCACGGGTTATAGCTGACACCTGACCACGGGTCATAGCTGACACACCTGACCACGGGTTATATCTGACCTTGGAGACTAACTAAGGGCAGTTTCCCATTTTTGATCATTTTGTTGTCCTCCCCCCTTCCCATCCCCCCCTCCAACTCAGTCGTAAGTTGTCTGTTTTTGCATCATGTGATGTTTGTTATGTCAACTAATTCATGTTTTAATTACTGACATGACTTCTGGCACAGAAAGATCAACTTTCTTGTCTTCCGATCAAACAGCATTAAATGTTTTGGAACCATTATTGTTGCTTGTTTTAAACCTTCATATTTGATGTCAGATCTTCCTCTCTGTTTATCATCAAACCTTTCTGTGTCATTTTCTGTTGTTGTACTTTTGTGTTTTTTATCATATCTTTGGTGTTTGTCATCAGACCTACCTGTTCAAATCTGTCCTGTTCAAATCTGTAGTGTCTAACCTCCCTGTCCAAGTTTGTTGTGTCTATACCCTCTGTCCAAGTTTGTTGTGTCTAAACTTCCTGTCCAAGTTTGTTGTGACTATACCCCCTGTCCAAGTTTGTTGTCTAAACTTCCTGTCCAAGTTTGTTGTGTCTAAACTTTCTGTCCAAGTTTGTTGTGTCTAAACTTCCTGTCCAAGTTTGTTGTCTAATAATCTCCCTTTCCAGGTTTGTTCAGTCTAATGAACTCCCTGTCCAGGTTTGTTCAGTCTAATAACCTCCCTGTTCAGTGTTTGTTGTGTCTAACCTCCCTGTCCAGGTTTGTTTAGTCTAATAAACTCCCTGTCCAGTGTTTGTTTAGTGTAATAAACTCCCTGTCCAGTGTTTGTTTGGTCTAATAATCTCCCTGTCCAGTGTTTGTTGTCTAACCTCTGTGTCTAGTCTCCACCACTGTATGTACTTATTGTTTCAGATCACTAAGTCTGGTGTCTGAACATTTATGTCTGGTACCTGTCATGTTAGGGCCATACATCGTTTCCTGGACAGGGTTTGAAAAGAAATATAAATCTGCGTACTTGTACTTGACAACAGAAAGGCATCTGGCAGATGTGAGACTGTGGGAAGCGATACAAGGGAAAGGTATTGCATATCTGGCAAAAGTATCTAGGGCAGTGTTTCATAAACTTTTCTTAGTCATGTGGTTGTCTTTCAATTTAAATTTTTACACCCACCTCCCGACCTCTGACACATGTATGGACACATGATATCAACAGAAACATTTGCTGACAACTGAGAGATATGATAGGGAAAGACGCCTAGAAAAAAGATCAACTCAAATGTTTGCTGACAACTGAGAGTAGCGATCAACTCAAACATTTGCTGACAACTGAGAGTAGCGATCAACTCAAACATTTGCTGACAACTGAGAGTAGCGATCAACTCAAACATTTGCTGACAACTGAGAGTAGCGATCAACTCAAACATTTGCTGACAACTGAGAGTAGCTATCAACTCAAACATTTGCTGACAACTGAGAGTAGCGATCAACTCAAACATTTGCTGACAACTGAGAGTAGCGATCAACTCAAACATTTGCTGACAACTGAGAGTAGCGATCAACTCAAACATTTGCTGACAACTGAGAGTAGCGATCAACTCAAACATTTGCTGACAACTGAGAGTAGCTGACAACTGAGAGTAGCGATCAACTCAAACATTTGCTGACAACTGAGAGTAGCTATCAACTCAAACATTTGCTGACAACTGAGAGTAGCGATCAACTCAAACATTTGCTGACAACTGAGAGTAGCTATCAACTCAAACATTTGCTGACAACTGAGAGTAGCGATCAACTCAAACATTTGCGACAACTGAGAGGAGCTATCAACTCAAACATTTGCTGACAACTGAGAGTAGCGATCAACTCGAAACATTTGCTGACAACTGAGAGAAGAGATTTGGAAAGATGCCTTGAGAAGAATCATGATCAGTGTCCTGTCTCTGCCTTTTTGAGGCCACCAGAGTTGCATTCTCTAGTATTCTCTTTGTTGCAGAATACATCTTTACATACAAAGATTCGAATTGATTCCATTCACTTACTTTACTTTTACTTAGTCGCTCCTCTTCTACCTTGAGGTGTAGAGGTTTGCCAGAGAGATCGCCAGACGTCTCTATCAGCAGTTTTCTTTCTGGCTTTGTTCCATTCCAGTCCTCTGTCAGTTAGGGACTGTCGGATGTTGTCTTCCCAGCGGACCCCGGGTTGCCCTGGAGGTCTGGTTCTTAGCCTGCCATAGAGGCCGATTTTCTTCCATTCTGCATACATGTCCAAACCATCGTAACTGTGACTGATTTTCTTCCATTCTGCATACATGTCCAAACCATCGTAACTGTGACTGATTTTCTTCCATTCTGCATACATGTCCAAACCATCGTAACTGTGACTGATTTTCTTCCATTCTGCATACATGTCCAAACCATCGTAACTGTGACTGATTTTCTTCCATTTCTGCATACATGTCCAAACCATCGTAACTGTGACTGATTTTCTTCCATTCTGCATACATGTCCAAACCATCGTAAACTGTGACTGATTTTCTTCCATTCTGCATACATGTCCAAACCATCGTAGCTGTGACTGATTTTCTTCCATTCTGCATACATGTCCAAACCATCGTAGCTGTGACTGATTTTCTTCCATTCTGCATACATGTCCAAACCATCGTAACTGTGACTGATTTTCTTCCATTCTGCATACATGTCCAAACCATCGTAACTGTGACTGATTTTCTTCCATTCTGCATACATGTCCAAACCATCGTAACTGTGACTGATTTTTTTCTTCCATTCTGCATACATGTCCAAACCATCGTAACTGTGACTGATTTTCTTCCATTCTGCATACATGTCCAAACCATCGTAACTGTGACTGATTTTCTTCCATTCTGCATACATGTCCAAACCATCGTAACTGTGACTGATTTTCTTCCATTCTGCATACATGTCCAAACCATCGTAACTGTGACTGATTTTCTTCCATTCTGCATACATGTCCAAACCATCGTAACTGTGACTGATTTTCTTCCATTCTGCATACATGTCCAAACCATCGTAACTGTGACTGATTTTCTTCCATTCTGCATACATGTCCAAACCATCGTAACTGTGACTGATTTTCTTCCATTCTGCATACATGTCCAAACCATCGTAACTGTGACTGATTTTCTTCCATTCTGCATACATGTCCAAACCATCGTAACTGTGACTGATTTTCTTCCATTCTGCATACATGTCCAAACCATCGTAACTGTGACTGATTTTCTTCCATTCTGCATACATGTCCAAACCATCGTAACTGTGACTGATTTTCTTCCATTCTGCATACATGTCCAAACCATCGTAACTGTGACTGATTTTCTTCCATTCTGCATACATGTCCAAACCATCGTAACTGTGACTGATTTTCTTCCATTCTGCATACATGTCCAAACCATCGTAACTGTGACTGATTTTCTTCCATTCTGCATACATGTCCAAACCATCGTAACTGTGACTGATTTTCTTCCATTCTGCATACATGTCCAAACCATCGTAACTGTGACTGATTTTCTTCCATTCTGCATACATGTCCAAACTATCGTAACTGTGACTGATTTTCTTCCATTCTGCATACATGTCCAAACCATCGTAACTGTGACTGATTTTCTTCCATTCTGCATACATGTCCAAACCATCGTAACTGTGACTGATTTTCTTCCATTCTGCATACATGTCCAAACCATCGTAACTGACTGATTTTCTTCCATTCTGCATACATGTCCAAACCATCGTAACTGTGACTGATTTTCTTCCATTCTGCATACATGTCCAAACCATCGTAACTGTGACTGATTTTCTTCCATTCTGCATACATGTCCAAACCATCGTAACTGACTGATTTTCTTCCATTCTGCATACATGTCCAAACCATCGTAACTGTGACTGATTTTCTTCCATTCTGCATACATGTCCAAACCATCGTAACTGTGACTGATTTTCTTCCATTCTGCATACATGTCCAAACCATCGTAACTGTGACTGATTTTCTTCCATTCTGCATACATGTCCAAACCATTGTAACTGCCTGATCCACTCGGGTTTGTAAGGACTGGGTATCAAGATCTTGACGTATTGTCTGATTGCAGACTGTGTCCCTTCTTGTCACTTGGACCATCTTTCTCAGATATCTCATTTCCGAGGCCTGCAGCTGGCTTCTGTAAGCTGTTGTCATTGCCCACGACTCACACCCATAGGTCAATACTGGTACATAGGTAGAGCGGTAAACAGCCATTTTCATCCTCTTGCTAATTTCTCTTTTGCTAAGAAACCCTCGGTTTATGGCCTGGAAGTCTCCCCCAGCAGCTGCTTTTCGTGTAGCCAGCTCAGTCTTAATGCCTCCGTTTCGGTCTAATACAACTCCAAGGTATTTAAACTGGTTAACCTGCTCCAATGCATACTGTCCCATCATGATTTGGTGTTTCTTCTCCTCTCTTGAGATCACCATGGTTTTAGTTTTAGAGATACTGATGGTCATCCCTCTCTTTTCAAGCTCTTCCTTCCAGACAAGTAAGTTGGACTGAAGGTGTGCCTCTGATTTAGCTATCAGGGCCACATCGTCTGCAAATGCTAGCTCTGATATACAGATTGGTCTCATCTTCAAGTACCCTACAGAGTACTTCTTTGTCTTCTCCTTACAGGTCTTGATGACATCATCCATCATAAGAATGAAGAGGTAAGGTGAGAGAATATCACCTTGTCTAACACTGCTGGTGGTCTTAAATTTTTCTGACTTTTGGTCTGCAGTTCTTACATAATTTCTGCAGCTTTTGTAGAAACTTTGTATTGTACTGATCAGTGGTGCTGGTATGTTTTTCCCTGCCAAGCAGTGCCAGAGACCACTATTCACAATATCCATTAATGTTCTACGCCAAAATTTATTGTACAGACACCATCAGCCAACATATCCGTCAGTTTTTAACACAAAGATTAATTGTAAAGACACCACCAGTCAATATATCCATCAGTTTCTCAACACAAAGAATTATTGTAAAGACACCATCAGTCAATATATCAGTTATTTCTCAACACATAGAATTATTGTAAAGACATCAGTCAATATATCAATTATTTCTCAACACATAGAATAATTGTAAAGACACCATCAGTCAATATATCAATTATTGCTCTACACAAAGATAAATTGTAAAGACACCACCAGTCAATATATCAATTATTGCTCTACACAAAGATAAATTGTAAAGACACCACCAGTCAATATATGAATTATTTTAACAGATTTATTGTAAAGACACCACCAGTCGTTATATCAATTATTGCTCTACACAAAGATAAATTGTAAAGACACCACTAGTCAATATATCAATTAGTGTTGTAAACAAACAGCATCAGGCACCCCAGCTTGACTGTTTGACAGAAGTCTGCCAACTTAATGCTGACACTTTCACTTGTAGAAAAACACACTGAATCTTGCAACAGATGAGGCCATGAAAGAGATTATATCCGGGATCTGATGTGTTGGATGGGTCTGGTGGAGTGGTTCAGTAGCTCTAGGGCCAGTTTGGTGGCCTCCACAGCACAGCCCCAGTGTAAGGTCACTCCACATCCACCATGGCCATAGTTGTGAACTACCTGTTGTAGGAAGTGGACAGATCAGCTGAGTTTAGACATAACAGACATGTGTCAGTACTGGGTTGAGATAACATTAGACATGTCAGTGTTGGGTAGAGATAACATTAGACATGTCAGTGTTGGGTAGAGATAACATTAGACATGTCAGTGTTGGGTGGAGATAACATTAGACATGTCAGTGTTGGGTGGAGATAACATTAGACATGTCAGTGTTGGGTAGAGATAACATTAGACATGTCAGTACTGGGTAGAGATAACATTAGACATGTCAGTGTTGGGTGGAGATAACATTAGACATGTCAGTGTTGGGTAGAGATACAACAGATATGTCAGTGTTGGGTGGAGAGACAACAGACATGTCAGTGTTGGGTGGAGAGACAACAGACATGTCAGTGTTGGGTGGAGAGACAACAGACATGTCAGTGTTGGGTGGAGAGACAACAGACATGTCAGTGTTGGGTGGAGAGACAACAGACATGTCAGTGTTGGGTGGAGAGACAACAGACATGTCAGTGTTGGGTGGAGAGACAACAGACATGTCAGTGTTGGGTGGAGAGACAACAGACATGTCAGTGTTGGGTGGAGATAACATTAAACATTTCAGTATTGGGTGGAGATACAACAGACATGTCAGTGTTGGGTGGAGAGACAACAGACATGTCAGTGTTGGGTGGAGAGACAACAGACATGTCAGTGTTGGGTGGAGAGACAACAGACATTGGTGTGGAGAGACAACAGACATCAGTGTTGGGTGGAGAGACAACAGACATGTCAGTGTTGGGTGGAGATAACATTAAACATTTCAGTGTTGGGTGGAGATACAACAGACATGTCAGTGTTGGGTGGAGATACAACAGACATGTCAGTGTTGAGTGGAGATACAACAGACATGTCAGTGTTGGGTGGAGAGACAACAGACATGTCAGTGTTGGGTGGAGATAACATTAAACATTTCAGTGTTGGGTGGAGATACAACAGACATGTCAGTGTTGGGTGGAGAGACAACAGACATGTCAGTGTTTGGTGGAAATAACATTAAACATTTCAGTGTTGGATAGAGATACAACAGACGGGCAATACCTTTAACTGATTCCCACCCGATGTTGTCCCTACCTTCAGCTGTTTGCCATCCAGCTTGATCAGTTCTGTCTCCAGTCTCAGGGTGGTTCTGGTGGGTCGGAGTCCAGCCTGAACTTTTACTGGCGTAGCTCTCTACAACACATTGTGAATACATCATTAGTGACTCTACAACACACTGTGGAAACATTTGTGACTCTTTAAAACACATTGTGGATACATCATTAATGAATCTGCAACACATTGTGGATACATCATTAATGAATCTGCAACACATTGTGGATACATCATTAATGAATCTGCAACACATTGTGGATACATCATTAATGAATCTACAACACATTGTGGATACATCATTAATGAATCTACAACACATTGTGGATACATCATTAATGAATCTACAACACATTGTGGATACATCATTAATGACTGTACAACACATTGTGGACACACCAGTCAATGACTGTACAACACATTGTGGACACATTAGTCAATGACTGTACAACACATTGTGGACACATCAGTCAATGACTGTACAACACATTGTGGACACATCAGTCAATGACAGTACAACACATTGTGGACACATCAGTCAATGACTGTACAACACATTGTGGATACATCAGTTAATTGCACCTCACTATATTTCCAGATGATAGCTGGGGATTGTAACAGGGGGTGGACACTAACAGCTGGAAATTGTGACATGAATGGGTGGACACTAACAGCTGGAGATTGTGACATGAATGGGTGGACACTAACAGCTGGAGATTGTGACATGAATGGGTGGACACTAACAGCTGGAGATTGTAACATAGGGGGTGGACACTTACAGCTGGAGATTGTAGCATGGGTGGGTGGACGCTTACAGCTGGAGATTATAGCGTGGATAGGTAAACACTTAAACAGCTGGAGATTGTAGCATGGATGGGTAGACACAACCAGAGACTGTAACATGGGTGAGTGGACACTTGCAGCTGGAGATTGTAACAGGGGTGGGTGGACACTTACAGCTGGAGATTGTAACAGGGGTGGGTCGACACAACCAGAGACTGTAACAGGGGTGGGTAGACACAACCAGAGACTTTAACAGGGGTGGGCAGACACAGCTGGAGAAGGAAACGTGTGTTGGGGGGGGGGGGGGCACTTACAGCTGGAGAAGGAAACGTGTGTTGGGGGGGGGGGGGGGGCACTTACAGCTTGAAAAGGAAATGTGTGGGTGTGGAGACGTACAGCTGGAGAAGGAAATGTGTGGGTGTGGAGACTTACAGCTAGAGATGGAAATGTGTGGGTGTGGAGACTTACAGCTAGAGAAGGCAGCAAGTTTTGAGCCCGTCTCCAAATATCCACAGAGTCTTGCTCATCAATCTGTGTCCTCCAGTCAGCCACCTGACCAGTTCCACCCACAACTGTGTACTTGACCCTGCAACCAATGATGACCTGAAGCTGAACCAGGTGTCCTGTTGTCACTTGGTAAACAATTGTCACAGTCTAACACAAATTTTTTGTATATGTAATGTGAACTTATTTATGTAGTATAAATCTGTCTATCTAGTGTAAATCTATCCATATAATATGTATGTCACTATGTAGTGTTAACTTATCAATGTAGTGTGATCCTATCTACGTAGTGTCAGCTTGTCTACGTAGTGTGAACCTCCTCTTTATGTAATATAAATCAGTCAATGTAGTGTGAACCTCTTTATACAGTTTGAACCTGTCTATGTAATGTGAACCTATCTATGAAGTGTGAACCTATGTATGGGGGGGGGGGGGCAACATATCTATATAGTTTGAAGCTATGTGAGTAGTGTGAACCTCTGTATGTAGTGTAAACTATATATTTAGTGACAACTTGTAGGAAAAGGAGTCTATATGAGGGGTCAACAGGTACCAAACACGACATCTGACACTGACGGATGTGTATTGTGAGAGAGGAAGATATTGAGCAGCTAGAAACATGCCAGATCGCTGGCACTTCCTGTGGAAAAGAGATAACCAGAAACACTGGTCAGACAACGCCCTACGAGATACAGTCGAGAAGGGCAGTTAACTCTCCGGCAGATACAGCAAGACGACTGATTATAGCATCTAGGTTTGCCAGGAACCTTTTAGATTAAATATAAACAGATGCTACGGACAAGGCTTTGAAAAAAAACACACATGGAGAGGAAAAGGGTGCACTGTAAAAAGGAGAGAGGTTCGAGAGTCAGGACCGGGGGTTATAATGAGACCATTAAAACAAGGATTGGGTTTTATGGACAAAGGAGTAGCCCTGTACAAGGTCCAACAATATTAGTAATGAGACTGATTTTATTATGGTCAAGACAAAATGCCATCCATGAATCCAAGCAAGAGGCAACCTTCGTCTATGATCTGGCAACTTTTCATTGCAGCCCGATAAGCAGACAACAAACAAGCTGCCATTTTGTTAACCCAGTCAGAGATGCATTGTTATGTAATTAGCAGGGAGCATAAAAAAGCTAACATTTAATTCTGTTTAAAACTCAGAAAAAGTGCCATTGCAACAATTGAATTGATGCAGTAAGTTTATGGGGATAATTTTTTTATCTCGTGCACTCATGTATTTCGTGCCTAAGTATGGCATCTGTGTAATTCAGATTCCGTCTCTTAATGATTGATGTCACTATAGTCTCCTGATCTGTGATCGTGTGACTGAGATGATTCACTTAATTAGTGGTAATAAAATCAAGACAGTCTCATAAAATATTTAAAGTGACATAGAGGTATAATTCAAATCATTCAGAGCACTAAATGTTTCTTGTAATTTGCTGGTAACCAGTGACGTATATTTTTGGTTTTTGTATGTAATCGTATAATTTCGTGTAATTAGTACTGTAATAACTGATAATTTATAGACTTTTAAAGTAGAAATTAGAACAAGTGACAATGTCAGGAAACAGCCTGCGTTTGTGATTTCTTTTTGGGAAGTTACGTGTGCCGTGTTAGATTATAGGGTAACATACAGTTACGTGTGCCGTGTTAGATTAAAGGGTGACATACAGTTACGTGTGTCATGTTAGATTACAGGGTAACATACAGTTACGTGTGCCATGTTAAATTATAGGGTAACATACAGTTACGTGTGCCGTGTTAGATTAAAGGGTGACATACAGTTATGTGTGTCATGTTAGATTACAGGGTAACATACAGTTACCTGAGCTGTGTTAGATTATAGGGTAACATACAGTTACCTGTGCCATGTTAGATTATAGGGTAAAATAAGTTACGTGTGCCGAGTTAGATTATAGGGTAACATACAGTTACCTGTGCCATGTTAGATTATATGGTAAAATAAGTTATGTGTGCCGAGTTAGATTATAGGGTAACATACAGTTATGTGTGCCATGTTAGATTATAGGGTAACATACAGTTACCTGTGCCGTGTAAGATTATAGGGTAACAGTTACATATGCTGTGTTAGATTATAGGGTAACATACAGTTACCTGTGCTGTGTAAGATTATAGAGTAACAGTTACACATGCTGTGTTAGATTATAGGGTAACATACAGTTACATGTGCCGTGTTAGATTAAGAGTTACATACAGTTACAAGTGCCGTGTTAGATTATAGGGTAACATACAGTTACGTGTTCCGTAACAGATATGTGTAGTGTGGACTTATTTATGTAGTGTAAACCTAAATGTGTAGTGTGAACTTATCTATGTAGTGTAAACCTAAATGTGTAGTGTGAACAACTCACCCAGGTAGAATGTAGATGTCTTCTTGTCCTGGCTGAGGCTTGAACAGGTAGAAATGTTTGATCCAGGGGGCGTGAACCTACAGATACAAGAGTGGATGGTCTGTTTGCTCAGTCACAACAAACAAGTGTGCGATCAGACATCAATTGCTCAGTCACAACAAACAAGTGTGCAATCAGACATCCATTGCTCAATCACAACAAACAAGTGAGCGATTATGGGGAAGAGACCCTCCACACCTGGCCTCTTGTGGGGAAGAGACACTTACCCCCCACAACTGGCCTCTGGTGGGGAAGAGACACTTACCCCCCCATACCTGGCCTACCCTCCATACTGGTGGGGAAAGAGACACTTTTGGGGAAGAGACACTAACCCTCCACACCTGGCCTCTGGTGGGGAAGAGACACTTACCCTCCACATTTAGCCTCTTATGGGGAAGAGACACTTACCCTCCACACCTGGTCTCTTGTGGGGAAGAGACACTTATCCTCCATAGTTGGTCTCTTATGGGGAAGAGACACTTACCCTTCACAACTGGCCTCTTATGGGGAAGAGACACTTACCCTCCACACCTAGCCTCTTGTGGGTAAGAGACACTTACCCTCCACATTTAGCCTCTTGTGGGGAAGAGACACTTACCCTCCACACCTGGCCTCTTGTGGGGAAGAGACACTTACCCTCCACACCTGGCCTCTTGTGGGGAAGAGACCCTTACCCTCCACACCTGGCCTCTTGTGGGGAAGAGACACTTACCCTCCACACCTGGCCTCTTGTGGGGAAGAGACACTTACCCTCCACATCTGGCCTCTTGTGGGGAAGAGACACTTACCCTTCACACCTGGCCTCTTGTGGGGAAGAGACACTTACCCTCCACACCTGGCCTCTTGTGGGGAAAAGACTGCTCCATCCTGGCCTCTTATCAAGAGATCGCCCTCCCACCTGGCCTCGCTACAGTTGATCACCAGGTCACACTGACCTTATGGGGAAGAGACATTTACCCTCTACACCTGGCCTCTTGTGGGGAAGAGACAGTTCAATTCCACACTTTGTATGTGGGGAAAATCATCATCATCATCATCATCCTCTTATCATCATGAGTACTATGTGTAAACCGTGCCACACTCTGTGGGGAAGAGACACTTAACCGAGCACACTGGCCTCTTGTGGGGAACCATGACACTTAACCTGCCACACTGTTTAACTTATGGGGAACTGAGCCATTACCCTCCACACCTGCCACTTAACCGTGCCACACTGTTTAACTATGGCACTTAACCGTGCTATGCTGTTTAACTATGGCACTTAACCATGCCACACTGTTTAACCATGACACTTAACCGTGCCACACTGTTTAACTATGACACTTAACCGTGCTCTGCTGTTTAACCATGGCACTTAAATGTGCCACACTGTTTAACTATGACACTTACCCTCCACAACTGGCCTGTTATGGGGAAGAGACATTTACCCTCCACACACTGTTTGGGGAAGGACACTTACCCTCCACATTAGCCTCTGCTGGGGAAGATGACACTTAACCCTGCCACACCTTCCTAACTGTGGGAAGAGACTTACCCTCCATAGTTGGTCTCTTATGGGGAAGAGACACTTACCCTGCCACACTGCCTCTTATGGGGAAGAGACACTTACCCTCCACACCTGGCCTGTTTGTGGGGAAGAGACACTTACCCTCCACACCTGGCCTCTTGTGGGAAAGAGACACTTACCCTCCACACCGTGCCTCATGTGGAGAAGAGACACTTACCCTCCACACCTTGCCTCTGTGGGGAAGAGACACTTACCCTCACACATTTAGCCTATTATGGGGAACCAGACACTTACCCTCCACAATTAACCCTCTTGTGGGGTTTAGACACTTACCCTCCACCGTGCCACACTGTTATGGGGAAGAGACACTTAACCCTCCACACTGGCCTCTTATGGGGCAAGAGACACTTACCCTGCCACACTGGCCTCTCCATGTGGGGAAGAGACACTTACCCTCCACACCTGGCCTAATTGAGGGGAAGAGACACTTAATGTTCACACCTGGCCTCTTGTGGGGAAGAGACACTTACCCTTTACACCTGGCCTCTTGTGGGGAAGAGACGCTTACCCTCCACACCTGGCCTCTTGTGGGGAAGAGACACTTACCCTCCACACCTGGCCTCTTGTGGGGAAGAGAAACTTACCCTCCACACCTGGCCTCTTGTGGGGAAAACCTGCTCATCCTTCAAGAGATCGCCAGCTCCCAGGCCGCTACAGTTGATCACCAGGTCACACTGACCTGCAAACTAGTGGGAAAAGAACAGTTCAATTCATGACTGTATGTACATCATCATCATCATATCATCATCATGAGTACTATGTGTAAACCGTGCCACACTCTTTAACCATGGTACTTAACCGAGCCACACTGTTTAACCATGGCACTTAACCGTGCCACACTGTTTAACTAATGCACTTAACTGTGCCATGCTGTTTAACTATGACACTTAACCGTGCCACACTGTTTAACTATGGCACTTAACCGTGCTGTGAGACTAGGTGGAAAGGTTATGGCACTTAACCATGGTTACTGTGAGTCCATGAAACTTAACCGTTGGCACTGTTTAACTATGTGAGTCTAACCGGGGAAAGGTATAGTTGGCATCTTATTGGTCTATGTGAGACTAGGTGGAAAGATGTTGGAGACCATGCCACACTGATCAAGGACTATACATTCAACTTCAGTGGCCAGGATGAGGAGTAAATGGCGTTGGCTTTCATGTGCATGAGAATATTAGAAACACAATTACGCCTAAATGCATGCCCCATTCAAACTTACAGTCATATAAGTCTATGCTCCAACAACAGACTACGATGACACTTTTTTGAGATTTATATAAACTCCAAAATATTATTGAGAAACACTTAACCAAGAAAGATGTACTGTTTAACTGGGACACTTAACCATGCCACACTGTATGAACTAGAACGAACGAACCACACTATTATCAAAGGGTCACAAAGTGGCACGTAGGCCTGTCTTACATTAGCTGTTCTAAATACCCATAACTTTCACACAGCAGATGTATTTTATGACAAAAACCATGCCATCTTCATATAATAATATGCAAATTAATGAATGCCAAGTCAAAAACAAAAACAAAAGCATTGCAAAAATGCATGCAAACACTCGCGCGACCGCACACACACAATTACATACACATGCTACACACCACACATTTTACATACACACACCCGCATACATATACACATACTATATATAACTATACACATACAAACACCACACATACATACATACGTGTTTATGTATGGAACAAAGTGACACTGTCACTGACTATGTGTTATGTCATGAACATGTTACCGTACATGTAATGCTTTCTGTGTGCCTGTCATTCTCCATCTCTCTCTCTCCTGAAGTGTGTGCGTGTGCGTGTGTGTGCGTGCGTGCGTGCAGCGTGGGTCAAGGTGTGTGTGTATAAAGATATGTGTGTGCACCACCATGAGTGCAAGTGGAAGCGAACCTCACTCACTTAAACTGATCACTTTCCTCATGTCGAAAACCTGCCTCAGGAATCTGAAACGAAGAGATCTATTATTTGTACAATCATTCCCCCCAAATTACCAAATTTGTGCAATCATTCTCCTGATTGACATGCTGACACAATTTTTCACCTGGGGGGGGGGGCTCATTCAAATTTTCACCTGAGGGAAGGTGCTCCTAAATTCCACCTGAGTTAAAATGCCTCAAACATTGGCTTTCACCTGAGTTAACATGAAATTCAATCTTTCATAGTGAGTTAACATGGCTGTATTCTTTCCCTGAGTTAACATGCTCCCACTTTCACCCAGGTAACATGCTCATACAATCTTTTAGCTGGTGTCCTCATGGATATGGTTTCCAGACTGCACCACGGGGAACAGCAGAGTTACAACATGAGCTGGAAAGGTATAGTTGGCATCTCATTGGTTTATGAGAGACTAGGTGAGAAGGTATAGTTGGCATCTTATTGGTCTATGTGAGACTAGGTGGAGAGGTATGGTTGGCATCTCATTGGTTTATGTGAGTCTAGGTGGAAAGGTATAGTTGGCATCTTATTGGTCTATGTGAGACTAGGTGGAAAGAGTTTGGAGAAACATCAACTGATCAAGGACATACATTTCACTTCAGTGGAGAGGATAGAGGAGTAAATGGCGTTGGCTTTCATGTGCATGAGAATATTAGAAACACAATTACGCCTAAATGCAACCCCATTCAAACTTACAGTCATATAAGTCTATGCTCCAACAACAGACTACGATGACAACTTTTTTGAGATTTTATATAAACTCCAAAATATTATTGAGAAAACACCAAAGAAAGATGTACTGATAATTCTGGGAGACTGGAATGCTAAGGTATGAACAGAACGAACGAACAAACTATTATCAAAGGGTCACAAAGTGGGCACGTAGGCCTGTCTTACATTAGCCTTCTAAATACCCATCTTTCACACAGCAGATGTATTTTATCAAAAAAGCATGTCATCTTCATATAATAATATGCAAATTATGAATATCAAGTCAAAAACAAAAACAAAAGCATCGCTGCAAAAATGCATGCAAACACTCGCGCGACCGCACACACACACTTACATACACATGCATACACACACACATACATACACACACCCGCATACATATACACATACATATATATTGCATACACATACAAACACACACACATACATACATACGTGTTATGTCCGAACAAAGTGACACTGTCACTGACTATGTGTTATGTCAGAACATGTTACCGTACATGTAATGCTTTCTGTGTGCCTGTCATTCTCCATCTCTCTCTCTCTCTCTCTCTCTCTCTCTCTCTCTCTCTCTGAGTGTGCGTGCGTGCGTGCAGCGTGGGTAAAGGTGTGTGTGTATGTATATATGTGTGTGCGTGTGTGTATGTGCAAGTGGAAGCGAACCTCACCTCACTTAAACTGAACACTTTCCTCTTATGTACTCGACCTCCTGCCTCAGTGAATCTGAAACGAAGAGATCTATTATTTGTACAATCATTCTCCCAAATAACCATGTTTGTGCAATCATTCTCCTGACTTAACATGCTGACACAATTTTTCACCTGAGTTAACATGCTCATTCAATTTTTCACCTGAGTTAACATGCTCCTATAATCTTTCACCTGAGTTAACATGCTCATTCAATCTTTCACCTGAGTTAACATGCTCGTACAATCTTTCGCCTGAGTTAACATGCTCATACAATCTTTCACCTGAGTTAACATGCTCATACAATCTTTTCACCTGAGTTAACATGCTCATACAATCTTTCACCTGAGTTAACATGCTCATACAATCTTTCACCTGAGTTAACATGCTTGTACAATTTTTCACCTGAGTTAACATGCTCACTCAATCTTTCACCTGAGTCAACATGCTCATACAATCTTTCACCTGAGTTAACATGCTCATACAATCTTTCACCCGAGGTAACATGCTCATACAATCTTTCACCTGAGTCAACATGCTCATACAATCTTTCACCTGAGTTAACATGCTCACACAATTTTTTACCGGAGGTAACAGGCTTGTATAACCCTCCTCGTGAGTTCATTTGCCGATAAAATAATTTTCATGAGTTAACAGGCTTGTTCAATCCTTCCCCAGAGCTAGCATTGTCAGACAGTTATTCTTTGGCTGTACCGGAAACGCAACTTTACCAGAAACACACCTATGCTATTTTTCTGCTTGCTCCGAGACAGCGCAAGTTTGGTTCACATTTTCCTCTTCCAGCCTTGACCCTGAGAGCAAGTGCATCGAAGGTTAAAAGTTCATGAAGTTTCCACATTATCAAAAGATGTGCTGAGAAAGGAGGGGGGAAAAAGGGGGGGGGGGGGGGGGGGGGCCTTCGTTCCTGTCACTTGCACGTTGATTCACACTCCAGCCAGCCGGGACAGTTTTAGCCGGGAACAGACGAGATAGCCATGTCAGTTCTAGCCGGGAGCAGCCGTGTCAGTTCTAGCCGGGTACAAATATATATATCTGGTGCCCACACGTGACACTGCGATACAGCACTGCCAACTTGGCGTCTTACAGACTAGAAATAGGACAACGAGAGATCTGTTGACTCCCAGAAGCCACTAACCAATTTGAGGCCGATATACTGGGGTCAGGAGTCAACTGTAGGCGAATTTCCCGCTCCCTTCCTGCTCCCACCGGGGACACATTCTGCCAGCCGCATTTGTGTATAAACCATCTGGACTCTTGACGATGATGGTGGATACATTCAGCATTACGCCCGTCGGCTTGACCTCCAACGTCATTTCCATGTACCCACGTGAGTCTGGGTGAAGCTCAATGTTCAGGTTAGTGTTTCACAATCCACCATTATCGACGACTGCAACTTATTACCCCGGGGGTGGCAGGTTGGAAACTGCGCCATATTGATGACCTGATTGAACGCGTTCATGTTGACGTGACCCCTGGCTCTGGTGTGTCTGTGAAGACCTGCCCGATGGGTTCTGAAGACACTATTCCTGACTGAGCTTCCTCTCTTCATTTGGCTTTCTCTAAATCAGTCACGTGACCATCTTACAGTGACTGCCATCTTTGATGCCTCACATGTACCATGACCGGTGTCACTGCAAGTCCGCCCCCTCCTCCCCCGCTCTTACTAGCACAGGTCTCATCAGCAACAACTCCCAGATAGTCATTTTACTGTGGCACTGGAAGCCCGGTCCTCGCCCCAGCTAGCAACAAGATGCCAGCGCCTAGCAACAAGATGCCAGCGCCTAGCAACAAGGGAGGCCTTAGCAACAAGATGACAGCGCTTAGCAACAAGATGGGAGCGCCTAGTGAAAAGCGGTGTGTTCCTACCTTTTGGTCAGCCACTGCAAATAGGGTGTCACGTCCACCTGGACCGTTGTGTGGAAGTACCCAGACCTATGGACGCGGAAAACGTTGAAGTTAGAGAGCCAACAAATGGGGACAGGCTGGGGTCGGACAGACAATAAACGGGGACAGGCTGGGGTCAGACAATAAAAGGGGACAGGCTGGGGTCAGACAATAAACGGGGACAGGCTGGGGTCAGACAATAAACGGGGACAGGCTGGGGTCAGACAATAAACGGGGAAATGCTGGGGTCAGACAACAAATGGGAACTGGTGAAAGTCAGACAGACAAAAAATGGGGACAGGTGGAAGTCAGACAGACAAAAAATGGGGACAGTTGGAAGTCAGACAGACAAAAAGTGGAAAACTAGGACGTCAAACAGACAAGAAAAGGAGCAGTGGATGAAGAACAGCCTAGAGACTGCTGTCAGACATTGGGCTGACAGGGATATATCTTCGTTTACTCACATGTGACATAGGTTAAACAGGTGACACTGACAGGTGACAATGACATGTGACAAGGACATGTGGCAAATACAGGTTACACAGGAAAACATCCGTGAGCAGAAACGTGACACTAATACATGACGTAAGGTAGACTTTTGACAGTGACATGTGATATCTGACAGTCACACGCGGCATTTGACAGTGACATGTGATATCTGACAGTCACACGCAGCATTTGACAGTGACATGTGATATCTGACAGTCACTCACGGCGTTTGACACACATGTGTGAAAAAAAATGGTAACCCATGCCCCGTGACTGTTTCTAGCACATATCCCTGTTTGTGTATCCAGCACTTTTTCCCATGTCTGTACCTAGCACAGTCTAAATCTAGCACAGATCTCTGTGTCTGTATCAAGCACAGATTCCCATGTCTGAATGAAGCACAGATTCCCATGTCTATATCTAGCACAGATTCCAATGTCTGTATCAAGCACAGATTCCCATGTCTGTATCAAGCACAGATTACCATGTCTATATCTAGCACAGATTCCAATGTCTATATCTAGCACAGATTCCCATGTCTATATCTAGCACAGATTCAAATGTCTATATCTAGCACAGATCTCCCTGTACCTAGCACAGATTTCCATGTCTATATCTAGCACAGATCTCTCTGTACCTAGCACAGATTCCCATGTCTGTACCTAGCACAGATTCCCATGTCTATATCTAGCACAGATCTCTTTCTGTACCTAGCACAGATTCCCATGTCTGTACCTAGCACAAATTCTAATGTCTGTACCTAGCACAGATTCCCATGTCTGTACCTAGCACAGATCTCTTTCTGTACCTAGCACAGATTCCCATGTCTGTACCTAGCACAGATTCCCCTGTCTATATCTAGCACAGATCTCTTTCTGTACCTAGCACAGATTCCCATGTCTGTACCTAGCACAGATTATCATGTCTGTACCTAGCCCAGATTCCCATGTCTGTACCTAGCACAGATTCCCATGTCTATATTTAGCACAGATCTCTTTCTGTACCTAGCACAGATTCCCATGTCTGTACCTAGCACAGATTCCCATGTCTGTACCTAGCACAGATTCCCATGTCTGCACCTGGCACAGATTCCCATGTCTGTACCTAGCACAGATTCCCATGTCTATATCTAGCACATATCTCTTTCTGTACCTAGCACAGATCTCTCTGTACCTAGCACAGATTACCATGTCTGTACCTAGCACAGATCTCTCTGTACCTAGCACAGATTCCCATGTCTTTTTCTGGCAGAAATCTCTGAGTCTGTATCTTGTTTGTTTGTTTGTTTTAGTATCCAGAAGCCACGAGTTGTTAACCCTTAGGCTCGGTATCACAGATATATCAACCTTTCGGCCTTGATTCCATTGTAAATACCGTAAATCTGGAAGAAATGTCGCTTTTCTGCCTACCCCCGGGAGTGAACACGGACCACAAGGAGTTCGTCACCTGGTCACCGTGCAATCCAGTTTAGCCAACTACGCTAGAGAGCCGGGCGAGTCTGTATCTAGCACAGATATCTGTGTCTTTACCTAGCACATATTCCTGTCTATTTCTAGAACAGATCTCTGTGTCTGTATCTAGCTCAGATCTCTGTGTCTGTATCTAGCTCAGATCTCTGTGTCTTTACCTAGCACAAATTCCTATGTCTATTTCTAGAACAGATCTCTGTGTCTGTATCTAGCTCAGATCTCTGTGTCTGTATCTAGCACAGATCTCTGTGTCTGTATCTAGCACAGATCTCTGTGTCTGTATCTAGCACAGATCTCTGTGTCTGTATCTAGCACAGATCTATGTGTCTTTACCTAGCACATATTCCTATGTCTATTTCTAGAACAGATCTCTGTGTCTGTATCTAGCTCAGATCTCTGTGTCTCTACCTGGTACATATCTCTGTGTCTTTACCTAGCACATATTCCCATGTCTATATCTAGCACATATTTCTGTGTCTGTATCTAGCAAAGATGTTTTTGTTTGTATCTAGCACAGATCTCTGTGTCTGTGTCTAGATCTCTGTGTCTGTATCTAGCACATATCTCTGTGTCTGTATCAAGCACAGATTCCCATGTCTGTACCTAGCACAGATTCCCATGTCTATATCTAGCACAGATCTCTTTCTGTACCTAGCACAGATTCCCATGTCTGTACCTAGCACAAATTCCCATGTCTGTACCTAGCACAGATTCCCATGTCTGAATGAAGCACAGATTCCCATGTCTATATCTAGCACAGATTCCAATGTCTGTATCAAGCACAGATTCCCATGTCTGTATCAAGCACAGATTACCATGTCTATATCTAGCACAGATTCCAATGTCTATATCTAGCACAGATTCCCATGTCTATATCTAGCACAGATTCAAATGTCTATATCTAGCACAGATCTCCCTGTACCTAGCACAGATTTCCATGTCTATATCTAGCACAGATCTCTCTGTACCTAGCACAGATTCCCATGTCTGTACCTAGCACAGATTCCCATGTCTATATCTAGCACAGATCTCTTTCTGTACCTAGCACAGATTCCCATGTCTGTACCTAGCACAAATTCCAATGTCTGTACCTAGCACAGATTCCCATGTCTGTACCTAGCACAGATCTCTTTCTGTACCTAGCACAGATTCCCATGTCTGTACCTAGCACAGATTTCCCTGTCTATATCTAGCACAGATCTCTTTCTGTACCTAGCACAGATTCCCATGTCTGTACCTAGCACAGATTACCATGTCTGTATCTAGCCCAGATTCCAATGTCTGTACCTAGCACAGATTCCCATGTCTATATTTAGCACAGATCTCTTTCTGTACCTAGCACAGATTCCCATGTCTGTACCTAGCACAGATTCCCATGTCTGTACCTAGCACAGATTCCCATGTCTGCACCTGGCACAGATTCCCATGTCTGTACCTAGCACAGATTCCCATGTCTATATCTAGCACATATCTCTTTCTGTACCTAACACAGATCTCTCTGTACCTAGCACAGATTACCATGTCTGTACCTAGCACAGATCTCTTTGTACCTAGCACAGATTCCCATGTCTTTTTCTGGCAGAAATCTCTGAGTCTGTATCTTGTTTGTTTGTTTGTTTTAGTATCCAGAAGCCACGAGTTGTTAACCCTTAGGCTCGGTATCATAGATATATCAACCTTTCGGCCTTGATTCCATTGTAAATACCGTAAATTTGGAAGAAATGTCGCTTTTCTGCCTACCCCCGGGGGTGAACACGGACCACAAGGAGTTCGTCACCTGGTCACCGTGCAATCCAGTTTAGCCAACTACGCTAGAGAGCCGGGCGAGTCTGTATCTAGCACAGATATCTGTGTCTTTACCTAGCACATATTCCTATGTCTATTTCTAGAACAGATCTCTGTGTCTGTATCTAGCTCAGATCTCTGTGTCTGTATCTAGCTCAGATCTCTTTGTCTTTACCTAGCTCAGATTCCTATGTCTATTTCTAGAACAGATCTCTGTGTCTGTATCTAGCAGCACAGATCTATGTGTCTGTACCATTCCTATGTCAGACAGATCTCTGTGTCTGTATCTAGCACAGTCTGTGTATCTAGCACAGATCTCTGTGTCTGTATCTAGCACAGATCTCTGTGTCTGTATCTAGCACAGATCTCTGTGTCTGTATCTAGCACAGATCTATGTGTCTTTACCTAGCACATATTCCTATGTCTATTCTCTAGAACAGATCTCTGTGTCTGTATCTAGCTCAGATCTCCGTGTCTCTACCTAGTACAGATCTCTGTGTCTTTACCTAGCACATATTCCCATGTCTATATCTAGCACATATTTCTGTGTCTGTATCTAGCAAAGATGTTTTTGTTTGTATCTAGCACAGATCTCTGTGTCTGTGTCTAGATCTCTGTGTCTGTATCTAGCACATATCTCTGTGTCTGTATCAAGCACAGATTCCTATGTCTGAATCAAGCATAGATTCCCATGTCTATATCTAGCACAGATTCAAATGTCTGTATCAAGCACAGATTCCCATGTCTGTATCAAGCACAGATTCCCATGTCTGTATCAAGCACAGATTCCCATGTCTGTATCAAGCACAGATTTCCATGTCTTTATCTAGCACAGATTCCCATGTCTGTATAGCAAGCACAGATTCACATGTCTGTCTGTATCTAGCACAGATTTCCCATGTCTTTATCTAGCACAGATTCCCATGTCTATATCTAGCACAGATTCCCATGTCTATATCTAGCACAGATTCCCATGTCTATATCTAGCACAGATTCCCATGTCTATATCTAGCACAGATTCCCATGTCTATATCTAGCACAGATCTCTGTGTCTGTATCTAGCACAGATCTCTGTGTCTGTATCTAGCACAGATCTATGTGTCTTTACCTAGCACATATTCCTATGTCTATTTCTAGAACAGATCTCTGTGTCTGTATCTAGCTCAGATCTCTGTGTCTCTACCTGGTACATATCTCTGTGTCTTTACCTAGCACATATTCCCATGTCTATATCTAGCACATATTTCTGTGTCTGTATCTAGCAAAGATGTTTTTGTTTGTATCTAGCACAGATCTCTGTGTCTG